GTCAATAGGACAGTACGATATCGCACTATGCCAGTATTCAGTTAGAGTTAGGGATAGGATCAAGTTTATGTTTGAGTCATGATGGCGGTCGGGTTTGGGTAACGATTAGGGTTGAGTACATCTCTAATATGTTTGACTTTGTACCGTTCTGTGGTTAAGGTAAAGGTTAGGATAGCGACACTAGGAACCATTGTCTCCATATTACCTGCCAGTGTTGTTACGCTTCATACAGTGTTGTTACGCTTCATACAGTGTTGTTACGCTTCATACAGTGTTGTCAGATCATGTAGTCTCCATATGACCTGCCAGTGTTGTTACGCTTCATACAGTGTTGTTACGCTTCATACAGTGTTGTCAGATCATGTAGTCTCCATATGACCTGCCAGTGTTGTTACGTTTCATACAGTGTTGTTACGCTTCATACAGTGTTGTCAGATCATGTAGTCTCCATATGACTTGCCAGTGTTGTTACGCTTCATACAGTGTTGTTACGCTTCATACAGTGTTGTTACGCTTCATACAGTGTTGTTACGCTTCATACAGTGTTGTCAGATCGTGTAGTCTCGAGTACCAGAACCGCCATATCATAACAAGCACCCAAGACCTCAGACACCTACCTCTAGAACAATCTAGAAGATAACCGCGCATGTCACGTGGCGCGTGGTTAATGTGGCGGCAAAGAGCACGCGGCTGGCTCATGCTTTGTATACTTCAAGTAGAACATGTCAGTTTCCATGGCTCATGTGACGTCAACCCACCAGAACACTGGGCCGCTTCAAGAACTTTGGGAATCCCCGATGTGTTTTTTTTTTTAGACCTCTTTGTTGTAGGTGCGTTTGGATAAGTTGTAAACACGCTTTAGTCTTAGAGGCTACAAGTAGACACATCTTCTGTTACAGCAGGATAGGTAGGTTACAACATAACGATGGAAGCTCTGGATTCGATCCTGAACTGTTTGTCTGCACAGCATTTAGCTGCTAGGGCTTTGTACGTTGTACATCTTGATTACAATCCAACAATAAGCTGTTAGGCGTTCCTTAAATATGTAATGTCTTTGACTCTAGGACCTAACTATTGCATTACACTGGAATTTGTAAACACAAGTAACAGTGATTTTTACAAGCTTTTATTTAACTTGCTTCCTCTGTCGTCAGCTTTGCTTGAAATATTTCTTTTAACTCGATGTCCGTGAATTTTGTGAAAAAATATCTGACTTTATTCCTAATTTGCCATATAGTCGATCTATAAATAGCCGTTGCTACTAGTCTGTTTTCGTCTTCTGTTCTTTGTCTAGTCGTGTTAATTAAATTAAGTGTGATTGCTTTATTTGTTGTGGCTGTTTGATTGGTGGTGTTTAATATTTTCGCAAGTGTTTGCTTTGCTTTCTGTACTAATATACAATCTAAATAAATGCCTATAAAAGCTTTTTTTTTTTTTTTTTTTTTTTTTTAATATTTTCATAATTCTTTAATCCACTGATTAAAGCAAATTTGTCTAAGTCTTAACGAAATCAAGTCAACTTCTCTTCTGTTCAAATAATACAATGCAAACAAGAAAAGTCTATTTAGTAGAAACACGAGTTCTACTGTTCCAGGAGAAGTTAGCACCATACGACTTCTTGGGCAGTTTGGTTTTCTTCTTTTCCCCTTCTACAAACCAACTCCAGCCATTTTTCTCACAAAAGGCGATGGCATCTTCTTTGCTGCAGAAGTTGACTTCAGTGTTTGACAAAGGGTCCCCTGTAGAGATCCATCCCATCAGAGGATTCTCCCATCTTTCTCTTTCCTCAAACTCCATGCGCCACCTGTGTGTGTTATAGCTGCCAGACTGCATGGCATTGCGAGCTGGGACAAAAATTCTCACTGTCCGTGTTTTGATGTGTTCTTCAGGAACTCCACTGATAGCTGAGATGTCGATCTTCTCATTGACAGTAATGGTGATGTCTTTGTTTGTTGATTCCTTGTTCTCCACATCTGAGCCACTTGAAACTGTTACATTAGAGCTAGCCCTTGATCCTATTAAGCGGCTTGATAGACGAAGATGTTGAAAAATCTTCGACGACAAATTTGTTGCCATTTTTTCACTGTTGTGTTTAGTATTGTGCTTCACCTTGAAAAGCGGGAAGATGCCTATAAAAGCTTGTAAAAAGAAATGAAGTAGACCATTTATATAATATCAAATTAAAGAATCTACTGTTTTTATATAAAGTATTTAATGACTTTAAAAGGTTTCTGTTCGAACTAGAGCGAGTTGATTACTTTAAATATTTGTGAAATATGAAAACAAAATAAAATGTATAACTCGGTTAAGTAATCATATTTTGTAAAACAACATAAATAGAACCATGTCTGTATTTTGATATTACTAAATTTCCTTGAATGTTTGGCGATTGTTTTGGAATACGTTATAGGTTGTTTCCCTTGGCATTTTAGAATTTATAAATGGGAAGGAACTAACAAATATATATTTAAAATCTAACATAATTTTAGTATTTCATCATTTCAATGTCTAAAGTAATAAAACATTGTTTCAATACTTTGTTATTTAATTATTTTTTCTGCTATTATTTATCGACCTACGTATTTACTTGTAGCTGTACAATTTTAATTTTTTTACATTTCGTGCCTTACCAAGCTCCAATCCACATCTTCCTCCTTAATCGCACTTAATCCACACCATAACCCACTTCTCTCCCCTAATCCACCCCAGCACTCCCTTCTCTCCCCTAATCCACGCCGACGCCGAGTCAGCATCCCATCTTCTGCCACCCTCCGCTTGCTGCTGGTCACGTGTGACCCCACGCGTGTTTAATGAGGCGTGACAACTCATTCACCCAGCTTTAGGCTGAAAACAAAGGAAGTCAAATCAAGAACAACAACTCCACTAGTAGGCCGGAAGTCTTCCTCAACTGGCAGGCGCCATTGGCTAAGACAGAAGAAACCTGTCTGTAAAAAAATGTGTCAGGTTCTAGCCAAGCATTCTTAACTCGGCTCTTTACAATTAAACCAATATAAGCCGATTTAGTGAACGTAGGGAAAAACGTCATCGGAAAAAAGTCATAGAAAAAAGTCACAAATGTGTATTTGTGTGTAATTTGTTAATACTTTAAAAAGGACAAAAAACGGTGGCTCTCAGTGATATTTTTCTGTGACTTTTTTTCAGTCACCGATTTAGTTGCGCTTGGATTATGTAGTTGAAATTTTGTCTCAAGCAGACATAGGTAGTTAGATCGCCCAGTTCGATACCGCCAGTACTGACTGACTAGTCTGTAGACATATGTAGTTAGATCGCCCAGTTCGATACCGCCAGTACTGACTGACTAGTCTGTAGACATGGGTAGTTAGATCGCCTAGTTCGATACCGCCAGTACTGACTGACTAGTCTGTAGACATGGGTAGTTAAATCGCCTAGTTCGATACCGCCAGTACTGACTGACTAGCCTGTAGACATAGGTAGTTAGATCGCCCAGTTCGATACCGTCAGTACTGACTGGCCGCTTGGCTTTGTGTTTCCAGTCCTAGCCTGTAGGTATGGGTAGTTATATCGCCTAACATGTCTGGTAATAGCCAACTTTCTGATATCTTAGGTCTTAGACTTAATTAAGATCATTAAATTTAATTGTAATGAAACTCAACTGGGCGAGTTTATTTTATTTATGCTCTCTCAGATGAAAACTGATTACGTGTGTTTGTTTCTCGATTGAGTGAAATCCTGATGATGACCCTTGTTCTCTGATGACGCGGGTTCTTTGGTGACCCGTATTCTCTGGTGACCCATGTCTTCAGGTGACCCATGTCCTGTGGTGACCCATTTCGTCAGGTGACCCATGTCCTCAGATGACCCATGTCCTCATGTGACCCATGTCCTCAAATGACCCATGTCCTCATGTGACCCATGTCCTCAGGTGACCCATGTTCTCGGGTGACCAGTGTTCCCCATAACCGTGTTCACCGTGTTCGACCAGTAGGAAAGACATTATACAATAAAGTCCCGTGTGTGTCATCATGTGTGGCTCTACTTGTTGAATGGTGTTTGGTGGCCCAGTCAACATCAACACCCCGGTGTTGGGTGGCCCAGTCAACATCAACACCCCGGTGTTTGGTGGCCCAGTGAACATCAACACCCCGGTGTTTGGTGGCCCAGTGAACATCAACACCCCGGTGTTTGGTGGCCCAGTCAACATAAACACCCCGGTGTTTGGTGGCCCAGTGAACATCAACACCCCGGTGTTTGGTGGCCCAGTGAACATCAACACCCCGGTGTTTGGTGGCCCAGTGAACATCAACACCCCGGTGTTTGGTGGCCCAGTGAACATCAACACCCCGGTGTTTGGTGGCCCAGTGAACATCAACACCCTGGTGTTTGGTGGCCCAGTCAACATAAACACCCCGGTGTTTGGTGGCCCAGTGAACATCAACACCCTGGTGTTTGGTGGCCCAGTGAACATCAACACCCCGGTGTTTGGTGGCCCAGTGAACATAAACACCCCGGTGTTTGGTGGCCCAGTGAACATCAACACCCCGGTGTTTGGTGGCCCAGTCAACATAAACACCCCGGTGTTTGGTGGCCCAGTGAACATCAACACCCTGGTGTTTGGTGGCCCAGTCAACATAAACACCCCGGTGTTTGGTGGCCCAGTGAACATCAACACCCTGGTGTTTGGTGGCCCAGTGAACATCAACACCCCGGTGTTTGGTGGCCCAGTGAACATCAACACCCCGGTGTTTGGTGGCCCAGTGAACATCAACACCCCGGTGTTTGGTGGCCCAGTGAACATCAACACCCCGGTGTTTGGTGGCCCAGTGAACATCAACACCCCGGTGTTTGTCTACTGTTGGTGGCCCACATCATGGCCCACATCATGGCCCACATCATGGCCCACATCATGGCCCACATCATGGCCCACATCAGGGCCCACGTTAAATAAAATTTTGTTTTGACTCTGTATCAGCCACACTGACACTTGGCCGTTAAATAAAATTTTGTTTTGACTCTGGCAGCACGGGGGGCAAGTCGGGGCTGTGGTGCCAGATCCACATCCAGGTCTGTAGCACGTGCAAGCTCAGGATCAAGTTGGAAGAACTCAGCTTCGCTCACTGCACGCTCAATAGGAATAGGGGAGCGAACAGGGACTGGTGCCATCCTGGGTAGGTGATTGTGGTCATGTAGGGTAGGGGATCGTGGTCATCTAGGGTAGGGGATTGGCGAAGATTGTGGTAATCTAAGGTAGAGGATTGGTGGAGATTGTGGTAATCTAGGGTAGAGGATTGTGGTCATTTAGGGTAGGGGATTGGTGACGATTGTGATTGGTGGGGATTTTAGTCAAGTGATGCGGCTGTTGGGAACAGCGAAACAAACTTGTACATGTCCAATTTTTGTTGCACTTAATCAGGTGCGACCACATCCACATCCACGAAGTAGATCCGCCATACAACAAGGTCACCAACCGGGACTACTTTCTTGGCAACGAGACGGAGTACACCTCCATTTCCGGCAACATCAAAATACGTCACTGCGCGGGAAATACCAGCGTGGAGGATGGCAAAAGATTCAAAATTGCTTACAAAGTTGTTGGTAAGTTTTGAAATAGCTTTAAAAGTTGTTGGTAAGTGTCAAAATTGCTTACAAAGTTGTTGGTAAGTTTCAAAATTGCTTACAAAGTCGTTGATAAGTGTCAAAATGGCAAATAATGACAGACTAATCAGCAGTAAAATACAATACAAACTAATGAGCAAATCCGAGACAAAAACAAACATCTCTAAACTCAAAGGCGATACTGTATTAATGTTAAACTAATAGTGTAGCTGTATGATCAAAATGGCGTATACATCACTCAGCCCACGCTTAAGATATTATAGGCATGATGATGGTGTGTGTGTTTGGGGGGGGGGGGGGATTACAGCGCCATAAAAATTTACCTAATAGGACGCGATATTTACTGCTATGTATTGAAGAGGTAAATCTACCATGTAAGCAAACTATGTGTTTTATCTTGTGAGATCCAAGTGTACATTGGTTTTAACAATCACAAGGATGTTTTCCAAGTTCCAACTTATGTTTCTCTACATTGAACAAGATCCTAGATTTGTGTATTAAATTTTCAAAGATTTCAAACTATAAATAAACACACAACAAAAAAACGAAATAACTCCCAACATATTGTAGGGAAAGAGTTACGAGCAAACCGTCACGGGTCGTTAGGGGGGTAAGAGCAGACGACTCTAAACGTCTGCCTTTGTTGGTCTCAGCTGTTCTCATTCATTGATTGTTTTTTACTGGGATCTTTTTATACAACTGGTGATGGCAGTTCGTGAAAGTTTACCTCACGTGATGATACAGTCCATGGTGTGACCTGCACCTTAGCATTGTTTCGTTACATTTGCTCAAATTGTAGTTTGATAAATAAATGTTGGAAAACCACCGGTCCAAACTTGAACAATACCAAAAAATTTGTTTAGATGGCCAACTGTTATTCTGTAGATGGCCAAATGTTAATCTGTTAATGGCCGAATGTTAATCTGTTAATGGCCAAATGTTAATCTGTAAATGGCCAAATGTTATTCTGTAAATGGCCAAATGTTATTAAGTCAATGGTCACATGATTATGTAAAGAGGGCCAACTATTTACCTAAAGATAGTCAACTGTTAATTTGTAAACGGCCAACGTTTAAGTGTAGATGGCCAACGTTTATGTGGAAATGGCCAACGTTTATGTGTAGATGGCCAACGTTTATGTGGAAATGGCCAACGTTTATGTGTAGATGGCCAACGTTTATGTGTAGATGGCCAACGTTTATGTGTAGATGGCCAACTGCTTATGTTTAGATGGCCAACTGTTTAGGTGTAGATGACCAAATGTTTATGTGTAGATGGCCATCTATTTAGGTGTAGATGGCCAACTATTTACCTAAACATAGTCATCTGTTAATTTGTAAACGGCCAACGTTTAAGTGTAGATGGCCAACGTTTATGTGGAAATGGCCAACGTTTATGTGTAGATGGCCAACGTTTATGTGTAGATGGCCAACTGCTTATGTTTAGATGGCCAACTGTTTAGGTGTAGATGGCCAAATGTTTATGTGTAGATGACCAAATGTTTATGTGTAGATGGCCATCTATTTAGGTGTAAATGGCCAACTATTTACCTAAAGATAGTCATCTGTTAATTTGTAAACGGCCAACGTTTAAGTGTAGATGGCCAACGTTTATGTGTAAATGGCCAACGTTTATGTGTAGATGGCCAACGTTTATGTGTAGATGGCCAACTGTTTATGTGTAGATGGCCAACTGCTTATGTTTAGATGGCCAACTGTTTAGGTGTAGATGGCCAAATGTTTATGTGTAGATGACCAAATGTTTATGTGTAGATGGCCATCTATTTAGGTGTAGATGGCCAACTGTTTAGGTGTAGATGGCCAAATGTTTATGTGTAGATGACCAAATGTTTATGTGTAGATGACCAAATGTTTATGTGTAGATGGCCATCTATTTAGGTGTAGATGGCCAACTGTTTAGGTGTAGATGGTCAAATGTTTATGTGTAGATGACCAAATGTTTATGTGTAGATGGCCATCTATTTAGGTGTAGATGGCCATCTATTTAGGTGTAGATGGCCAACTGTTTAGGTATAGATGGCCAACTGTTTATGTGTAGATGGCCAACTGTCTGAAAACGGCCACCTGTTGATATTTCAGACAAGAACGAGCTACACCAAGGCATCGTGTCCCAATATGGCGAGGTCCACAAGACAGTTGTCTCCCCCAACTTCCCCCATGGATACGCCCTCAACGGCGAGACCTTCACCTTCGTGATACAAAACCTTGACCCCTATGGTCACATCCGGCTGATGTTTGAAGACTGGGATATTGCGCCAGAGAGTAAAGTTCGGGTGAGTAGACATTTCATCAAAGCCCGGGGGAATGGACATTTCATTTTGAACACTACACAATAATGTCCGGTAATTATAAATAAACAATATTTACAGATTAGCAGATAACTGACCCTGTTCCCTACAGATGAGCAGATAACTTACTCTCGCTTACCCCTCTTTCTCCCGAGAACATCCCCGGGTATTTTTTGTTTGAAATGACCTTTGTTGTTCGAACGTTTCAAGTGGTTTAGCCGTACACGGGTCAAAATAACCCCCGCGGAGACCAACCCACCCGCTGAAAGAAATAAACACGACTGCTCACCTCGGGGGGTTGTTGATGGTTGCTGTCAGGGGATACACGACCCGGGGGTCGGGGGTTGTTGATGGTTGCTGTCAGGGGATACACGCCCCGGGGGGTCGGGGGTTGTTGATGGTTGCTGTCAGGGGATACACGACCCGGGGGTCGGGGTTGTCTTTACATCAATGGCAAGCAATTAACTCCACGGAGACCGCTGTGGAGAAACGGCCGTAGGTTGAAACGTAGCGTCCTCCGTGTTTATTCAACAGAATACGTCGGATGTTTTCGGTCAGTTTCGGTATTTAGCTGGCTCGGTTTTGGCCGGAAGCCATGTTTTTTTAAGCGGTGGCCAATGTAAAGACGAGTACTAAAATACTAGAGGCGATACCGCGGGGAGGTGGGGGTATTGTGGGCAGTAAACAAGTAGCCGGCGTTTTATTTATAGATCAGACCAAGGAAACAGACCCTTGTTGGGAAAATGATCTCTTCGGGCTAAAGATTTTTTTTCCGAGGGAGGAATTCAGTTAGTCAGCATTTGGTCAGTAAGCTGTCAGTTAGTCAGCATTTGGTCAGTAACCTTTCAGTTAGTCAGAATCTCATATGGTCCTTTAGTGTTTGTGTGTAGTTTTAGACCGCCGACTTGTTTAATACTTCACATAAAGTATGTAAAGCTCCATAGCTATATCAATGTGCGAGCTAAAGATTTATAACTATATCAATGTGCGTGCTAAAACACCAAACACATGTTTAGTAATGTGTATAGGCTACATAAAATGTCATACTTCAAGTTATAAACGTGATTCTGCTAGAAGAATATTGGAATACAGTTCAATCTTTTGGGACGCTTTTAGAACAAAATGAACACTGGTTTTCGAACCAAGCTCATAAGGCATCTATATAATTCTCCATCCGGGAATTAAATATAAAATATAAGAAATTCAAAAAAGCTCAAAATAGTTGAAGAACACAGAGGTGCGTCATTCAGTGCTAAACTTTACCATAGATCGGCTAAGTTGTTGGCTGTGACTAAACATCCCTTTAAAAAAAATACAAATGACGAAATAGTGAGTTAAGTTCCTTAATCAGAAGGCGCTCAGATCTGTATACGACGTTTTAGTTACTGTTGTTTGATTCATTAAAAGGAAGTCATGAAAGTAATCTAAGATCACTTTTGAAAACTAATTAGTACCTACATATAGTCAGAAAATGGACAACAGTTAAGGTATATACTTTCTATGTAAATGTTTCTATTTCGTTTGGGGTTGGGGGGGGGGGGGGGTAGGAGTTCCTAAAAGAAACAATGATTGTATAAAGAGTATCAAAACCAGTAAAGATATAAATAAAGAACACAGAATCAAATAAATAAAGAGCACAGTATCAAAGTCTTGTGGGTGATAGATGGACCAAACGGAGAAAATTTGACAAGATATTTTGTTTGTTTTTTCACGATGAATGTTGTGTATGGCCGGAGGGGGGGGGGGGTGAGGGGCTTGTGAATCACTGGAAAACAAAACCAACCCAACAACAAACAAGGGGAATGTAAGTGTTAAAAGCTGGCAGACGTGTGTGAGCAAATAGCACGTGACGTGTTGAGGCGCTGCAGGCCAGCAGCCAGAGAATGCTGGAACTGGATCTATTGTTACGTTGTGTGAAACTAGATCTGTTTGTACGTTTTTTGACGCGAGGTGTGGGTGGAATGTTGGAAGTCTGGGACTAAGTGTCATCCTGTTGTATGTACTCAATTGTTGGCAAATAGACTAAGTGTCACTCTATTGTTGAATGAAGCCTACTTATTTGTGGGTACCAAACACCTGCTAGATTACGTTGCTTTTATTTTTATATGTATATAGTAATGTACGTACAATCATCCACGTAAACGTTAAATATTGTAAAACAAAACAACAGGAGAAAGAAAAATGATAACTAGACGTATATGACTTGCAGCCATGTTGTAAGAAAATACGAAGCACTCCAACAATTAGAGCTCCGTCAAGGAAGAATGGATGGGGTGGAGGGGGGAGGGGTAGAAAAACACTCAGATACGCTTTTGTTTTTATTTACTCAACCTCTTGAGGTAACTGATGCGCGAACAGCTCTGTCAGACTTCCCTTGTTGGTGAGTAACTCACGTGCAGCCCTTTCTCTCTCAACGTCAGCGTCAGGCGATTAGCCTGGGTAATCAACCGTGACGCACGCGGCGCGAGGAATGCCCCAAACCGCGAGAAGACGGCCCGTCTCTCCCCGACTCCCCGCGTGTTCCAGCCGCCATTTGCGCGCGATTGTGTCAAGAGATACGCCATATTGCCGCACCTCTTGCTGTCTACTACACAAATCTTCGGTAACTCGAGTCAAATCTTCGGTAACTCGAGAACTGGAATACCCGGGACATTTCCGCTAACAAATAGCGCGAGGCGGGGAAATGGCTAGGTGTATACACTCTAGTCGGGAGAATATGAGCTATGTAATAATATTCTTTTCATACACTACATTTAACGTCATAAATATTGTATTAGCATACAGGAAGTTTTTAAAATCTTCAAATTAAATTTCTGGAAATATGAACAATATTGGGGACTCTGTATCTAATACCTTGGTCAAAGTTATGAAAAAATACCAGCATAACTTAGTACATGTGTCTCAAATCAGTGGCGCCTCATGTGTCAATGCTTGAGTTTCGGAGTTCCAGCCAAAAATCTTAAACCTAACTCCACACTTTTTGTGGCTTTCATTGACCCTAGCTGCATGTATGGAAGCTCTGCCGCGTCTCGCTGGGCCCATTCAGACAACTCAAACAACGGAGGCACCGTTCTCCATACACCAATGATGGTCCGGCTCAAGGAAGTTTATTTAGTGGAATAGCACCCCCTCTACACATTTATTTAGTGGATAAACTCGAGTTATTATCTTTGTCCTTTGGTTGTCTGCCCCAATTATTCTTGGATCTTCCACGTCATGAATATTCAACTTTCTTCTCCATAATCAATACTCTCTTATCGGTCTTCTGCCTTAATTATACTCTTTCTCACTCACACACGCATATATATATATATATATATATATATATATATATATATATATATATATATATATATATATCTGTGTATGTATAATAAAATGTACTTCTCTCCATCTGCCGCCAGATCTATGACGGGATCTCCAACAATGCCAACCACACGGTGCTAGAGAGGTTCTCACGTCCTCTCTTTGTGTCCACCTCCAACACGCTGGCCATCGTCTTCTCCACGGGCGTCCACAGCTCACCTGGCGGGGTGACCAATGACTGCTGCTATTACATCGGGTTCAAGGCCGAGTACCAGTTTGTCTCAGGTACTTGTGGGAACGTCTGTGTATTTTAATAGAGAGGAGAGAATCTAAAACTAGCTACTAGCGCAGACAATATTTAGACAACGAAACAAGCGCTAAATTAACTTTAGATCGCCTTAGTGTTTTGGTTGTGACCAGGACTCCCCTATTTAAAAAAATATTATCAATGGAGTCGACAGTGTTTGGGGTGTTCTTAGAGTTAGCTTCCTTTATATTAGAAGGGTAGACAATCAAGTTTATTAGCTATACTTTCTGAATTATCTTTCCCTGGATTCTAATACTTCACGCATACATTGCTTCTTCTTTAATTTATACCGTTTAATAAATTTTCTAAAAACGCAATTAAGGATCTGACTATACGCTTTGACTAAAAAAAGAGGTCTAACAATAACCTTTCCTATCCAAAAGACCTAACCATGACCTTTCATCTTGCAGACCTAGAGTGGCGAGAAAGACCTGACACCTCATGTAGTGAGACCCACCCCATGCAGGGGGGTGGCATGATATCATTTACAGGGGCGTTGTCTTCAGGTGAGTGGGGTCAGGGGGTGGCATGATATCATTTACAGGGGCGTTGTCTTCAGGTGAGTGTGGTTGTGGGGTCAGGGGGGTGGCATGATATCATTTACAGGGGCGTTGTCTTCAGGTGAGTGTGGTTGTGGGGTCAGGGGGGCGGCATGATATCATTTACAGGGGCGTTGTCTTCAGGTGAGTGGGGTCAGGGGGTGGCATGATATCATTTACAGGGGCGTTGTCTTCAGGTGAGTGTGGTTGTGGGGTCAGGGGGGTGGCATGATATCATTTACAGGGGCGTTGTCTTCAGGTGAGTGTGGTTGTGGGGTCAGGGGGGCGGCATGATATCATTTACAGGGGCGTTGTCTTCAGGTGAGTGGGGTCAGGGGGGCGGCATGATATCATTTACAGGGGCGTTGTCTTCAGGTGAGTGTGGTTGTGGGGTCAGGGGGGCGGCATGATATCATTTACAGGGGCGTTGTCTTCAGGTGAGTGTGGTTGTGGGGTCAGGGGGGCGGCATGATATCATTTACAGGGGCGTTGTCTTCAGGTGAGTGTGGGATATACAGCACTGGTCAGTGGTGTTAGGTGGGCTGTGGGGTCAGTGGGGTCAGGTGGGTTGTGGGGTCAGGTGGGTTGTGGGGTCAGGTGGGTTGTGGGGTCAGGTGGGTTGTGGGGTCAGGTGGGTTGTGGGGTCAGGTGGGCTGTGGGGTCAGGTGGGTTGTGGGGTCAGGTGGGTTGTGGGGTCAGGTGGGTTGTGGGGTCAGGTGGGTTGTGGGGTCAGGTGGGTTGTGGGGTCAGGTGGGTTGTGGGGTCAGGTGGGTTGTGGGGTCAGGTGGGCTGTAGGGTCAGGTGGGTTGTGGGGTCATGTGGGTTGCAGGTTCAGGTGGGCTGTGGGTCAGGTGGGTTGTGGGGTCATGTGGGTTGTGGGGTCAGGTGGGTTGTGGGGTCAGGTGGGTTGTGGGGTCAGGTGGGTTGTGGGGTCAGGTGGGTTGTGGGGTCAGGTGGGTTGTGGGGTCAGGTGGGCTGTAGGGTCAGGTGGGTTGTGGGGTCATGTGGGTTGCAGGTTCAGGTGGGCTGTGGGTCAGGTGGGTTGTGGGGTCATGTGGGTTGCAGGTTCAGGTGGGTTGTGGGGTCAGGTGGGTTGTGGGGTAAGGTGGGTTGTGGGGTCAGGTGGGCTGTGGGGTCAGGTGGGTTGTGGGTCAGGTGGGTTGTGTGGTCATGTGGGTTGCAGGTTCAGGTGGGCTGTGGGGTCAGGTGGGCTGTGGGTCAGGTGGGTTGTGGGGTCATGTGGGTTGCAGGTTCAGGTGGGTTGTGGTGTAAGGTGGGTTGTGGGGTCAGGTGGGATGTGGGGTCAGGTGGGCTGTGGGGTCAGGTGGGCTGTGGGGTCAGGTGGGTTGTGGGGTCAGGTGGGTTGTGGGGTCAGGTGAGTTGTGGGGTCAGGTGGGCTGTAGGGTCATGTGGGCTGTGGGGTCAGGTGGGTTGTGGGGTCAGGTGGGCTGTAGGGTCAGGTGGGCTGTGGGGTCAGTGGGGTCAGGTGGGATGTGGGGTCAGGTGGGCTGTGGGGTCAGGTGGGCTGTGGGGTCAGGTGGGTTGTGGGGTCATGTGGGTTGCAGGTTCAGGTGGGCTGTGGGGTCAGGTGGGCTGTGGGGTCAGCGGATCATGTTTTGCTAATGACCGGTCAAGCATATTTGTTCTTTGAATAGTGAGCCAGTCAAAGAAATAAATGGATAGCATGATTCATTACAGGGGTAAATTATTCTGGAACGTCTTCCCCTTTGGTGATTTTTTCTTCACACGTTATCTTGGGGGGTTCTCTTACTCTGTGTATCTAGAAGCTTTCTTTCTATTTCGTATTTCGGAAATTACCAAGCAGCCACTATTTGAAAGAGCACAATATATGTACTCTCGTTCATTCTCTTTTTCAAAGAAATCTGAGAATTTTTATAATTGGATTTATTCTTGTCACAAAACCAAATACGTTTTAAAACATGAGATCAGATAGCCTTGCCAAGCTTCGTATCAAGGTTCACGTAACAGTCCAAGTTCTCCGTCTATTTATTTTCAACTGGCTTCAAGTTTTACATTTCCTGTCTATGTTCTGATTACGGAGCTGTCATTCTAGTGTTATTCTATGCCGCTGTAAAGACAGTGGGGAAGGGTGGGTGAGGGGAGGGTTACGTGTAGTGTGTGAGGTGAGATGGCTAACCCAGGGGACACACACTCCAACTCCCAGCTCCCAGGACTTTTATTCTCTCTGTGTCTCCAGCTCCCAGCTCCCACAACTTTTATTCTCTCTCTAGCTCCCAGGTTCTATGATTGTGTCTGGCTCATCAAGCGCTACAACTCTTACAGTTCCAACACACCGGATGCTGTGGTCTTGAGACTGCGGGAAGTTCTGCTGGGCGACGGTCAGTCTGGCGCTAATTATTCTAATTAAATTAATTTTTCTAATCAACGTTGAATATTTTCATTTGTATAAACATTTTTAAAAATCTGTTGAGTTTCTAAAAATGTATTCACTTCTTTTATTTAAAAAGAAATTAAATTTAAAAGCAGCAATGGTGTGCAAACGTATTTAGTATATCCCTAGATCCTTGTATGAAGTATACTAATGACTATATAGTTATTACATTTCTGCATTACAAGATTTATTTGCTGTGTAACTATGGTAACCAGTATGGCAGATCTAACATCATAACCAAACGCAACTCTTAAATATCGTCCAACTTTATTCTCATGTAGGCCTAGATCTATTTCTTTTCTTATCGCCAGGCTGGCTCCGGTACGGCAAAAGGAATGTTCTGGAAATCAGGAACGGCGTCAGCTCCGAGGCGCGGCTCCTAGCCAGATTTACGTCACGCAACCTGACCGACATTCCGGCCGTGATTACGTCACAGACCGGCCTGTACATCCGGCTCAGAGGGGGCTACTACAGCACGGACAAGCTGTCCTTCATGTTTACAGCCGTGAAGAACGTCACCAAAGGTAGCTGGTGGCTGCCAGCTAGATTTTGATGTTGGCTGCTGGCTAGGTTTACATGTTACGTTTAAGTTAGGTTTAAGTGTTGAAAGCATTCCCTCTTGTTTACACTATTGAGTTTAAGTTGGATAAAATTTGGTTTAAGCGACTTCGTAAACGCAGAGGCGTAGCGACCCTTCCCGGCGCCCGGGGACAAACTTTTCGATTTGCACCCCCTCATGATTTTGATTTGCACCCCACCCTCCTCAAACTTTCCATTTGCACCCCCCTAAAACTTTCGATTTGCACCCCCTCAACCTTTCAATTCATTTTTCCAACCCATTTTGGCGCCCCCTATGGTCGGCGCCCGGGGACATGTGTTCCCCCCCCCCCCCGCCCCCCCCCCCCCCCTCTACGCTACTGCATAAACAGTACCAATCTCTCGTAGACCATTCGTTGTTTAAATCATCTAAGATTCACCCACACATGGACACAGAGTAAAATCAGATTTCCCTCTAAATTGTCCGCCTCGCGGAGAAATATCACTAAAAGAAACACTGATCACGAGCTCATCAAGCTTGCAGTCCACCTCCTGACATTAGCTGAAATTTTCACTAGCTCCACCGACTTGTGTTTGGCTGTGTGTGAGTAATTCTTGTGTTTGTCTGTGTGTGTGTGTGTGTAATTCTTGTGTTTGACTCTGTGTGTAATTCTTGTGTTTGTCTATGTGTAATTCGTGTGTTTGTCTGTGTGTAATTCGTGTGTTTGTCTGTGTGTAATTCTTGTGTTTGGCTGTGTGTAATTCTTGCGTTTGGCTGTGTGTAATTCTTGTGTTTGTCTGTGTGTAATTCATGTGTTTGGCTGTGTGTAATTCTTGCGTTTGGCTGTGTGTATAATTCTTGGGTTTGTCTGTGTGTAATTCGTGTGTTTGGCTGTGTGTAATTCTTGTGTTTGGCTGTGTGTAATTCTTGTGTTTGTCTGTGTGTAATTCATGTGTTTGGCTGTGTGTAATTCTTGCGTTCGGCTGTGTGTATAATTCTTGGGTTTGTCTGTGTGTAATTCGTGTGTTTGGCTGTGTGTAATTCTTGTGTTTGTCTGTGTGTAATTCTTGTGTTTGGCTGTGTGTAATTCTTGTGTTTGTGTGTAATTCGTGTGTTTGGCTGTGTGTAATTCTTGTGTTTGGCTGTGTGTGTAATTCTTGTGTTTGGCTGTGTGTGTAATTCTTGTGTTTGGCTGTGTGTGTAATTCTTGTGTTTGGCTGTGTGTGTAATTCTTGTGTTTGGCTGTGTGTGTAATTCTCTCCTCTCCCTGCAGGGGGTGAAGGTTGCCCTGGATACACAGACTTCCTGTGTAAGAACCTGCTGTGTATCGACCAGGAGCTAATGTGTGATAACGTTGACCATTGTGGGGACGGCTCTGACGAGAGCCCCACGTTGGATTGCTCTGTTACAGGTATGTGGTTGGCGCAGGTGTGGTTGTCACTAGTGTGTGGTTGTCATGCGTCTGGTTGTCACAGGTGTGTGGTTGGCGCAGGTGTGGTTGTCAGAGGTCAAGGGGTGTGTGGTTTTCATATGTGTGGTTGTCACAGATGTGTGGTTGTCGCAGGTGTGTGGATGTCAGATGTGTGTGGTTTAACATGTGTTTGTCACAGGTGTGTGGTTGTCACGTGTGGGGTTGTCGTAGATGTGTGGTTGTCCCGTGTGTGTGTTTGTATCGTGTGTGTGTTTGTCACAAGTGTGTTACACTAAATTGTATTATTTTTTTTTACATTTATTGACAGATATGATGAAGCACAGGTTTAAGTGGAGCATGGCTTATATCAGTGAGTCTCATGTGTATAAATATCGTTTTAGCGTGTTTTAGAAATAGTTGCCATCAGCTTTAAGAAATATCAGAGGAACTATAGGGTGTGGGGGCACAGGTTATGTGGCCATCAGACTTTAGAACAGCCCGTACCATATTAAGCTACACATGAGTCGACTGGGTCAAAAGAACTTGGCTGTAGGTGTAGCATGGTACATAGGAATATTTTTTATAAATTGTTCTGGCAACTTACGCCTCCCCTCCCTCTACATCTCCTCCCTGTCTTCCTCAGCTGATACCACTCTGTCTAACAAACCTGCCTGCAACGGCATCCTCTGTGGCGACACCTGCATCACCTTTGACCAGGTGTGTAACGGGATCGTCGACTGCGCAGGACAGGAAGATGAAAGAGACTGTGGTGAGTTGGGCTGCCTAAGTCACGTGATCTACCTGAACTATTTTAGTTGTGGCTAGCTAGAGAACTAATACAGACTCAGAAATGTTTTATTATATCATAGTATATGTACACATACAAACATACACATATTATATATATACATATATATAGGCATATATGTAGATGTATATATATATATATATATATATATATATATATATATATATATATATATATATATATATATATATATACACACACACACACACACACATATATATATATATATATATATATATATATATATATATATATATATATATATATATATATATATATGCCATAAATATACTATGTATTATCTTGCTTTCAGCCAATGCAGTGACACCAAGGAACAGTACAACCAAGCCCCTCCCTGTCATGTTGATATTGCTTCTGACTACCTTATGGCATTTAGTAAAACACACAACCAACAGATGACAGAGAATGTGGTTCTAATTTGTTTTAAAGTGCTTTAGGCTTTATTATCATTTTATTTATCATTTTAAAATTTTGGACATGAACTGAACAGCAACCCATTTTAAATTGACCTGTTCTTTAGTGTGGTGCAACTCTTACAATTGCCTTTGTATTCAGTGTAAAATATTTTCATTCTCATTGTTGTGATATGTCTGACTTTTGTGATATGTTTCACAAAATATGGGCCATAATGTTATTCTATTTTGCATATGTCCTCTCATTACAATGTATAATTAATATAATATTTATATTTCAATTATTATTTGTATATGTTCAATTTTCCTGGAACTTCTGTACAAGTGTTATGTATGAGAACTTCTGTGCTAATGTGAATAAGAACATTCTTGGATTTGTTTACCCCCTCCCCACCATCTGGAGAACGTAGCTATCAGCTCCTGGTAATGGAGCAGTCAGTTATCCAATACACAAATACTCCCATGTCATATTTACAAACTCAAATTTCTAGTTTTAATAACCCCCCCCCCCCCCAACCCCCAGCGTGACCTGATCATTAGCGTCACCACTTAGAGTTTTAACTACATGAATATGTGGCACCACTTTGTGATAATTAAATAATTATTTAATTTAACATGTGATTTTTTTTTTCTAATTATTTAAAAATTGTTTGTTATTAAAGATTTTTGTGAACATTTGATAGCAAATGTACACTCCCCATAAGATTTGACAGCTTATATGCTTTTGTTGTCAATTTAATTTAAAATTCATCTACCCATCACTTATAGTGTCAGTCTATTATTTATAAATTAAGACCCGTTATTTGCAACAAATTTGTTTTTAAATGCATTCTTAAACTCACAATTTCAGTTTCTCGATTTAAAAAAAAAACAAGCTTATTCTTAGCCATAGATATTTTATTCATATCTAAAGCAAGTAAAGGGGTGAGGTTATGTCTAAATGTTGTTCTGTCAGGTCATCAAATTTCATTACATCAAATATATGAATCTGATGACATCAAGTAATGGCTTATAAATGACATCATGATTAGACGACAATCAGGAAGAAAACCAAATGATGTGTAACCTACCTCTAGTTTGAATATTAACATTATGTTTGTGAGAAAAATATAATGGTTCAATTTTTTTATTGTCATGGAGATTGAGGATACACTTGTGTTGGTAATGCTTTTTGTTAAAGGTGAAGATCTAATGTTTTTTATTTTAAAATTATGTCAATGGATTTTTAAAATAGTTTTATCCAGTCCATCTTATTTATCATAAACATGGATTGGAATACGCTCTTAAAGATAAATAATAAAATATGTTTTAAATTTGCTTGCTCTTGTATAACGTGATATTGCCCTCTGTTGTGATTTGCTTGCACGACATAATGTTGTGTTGATCTATTTTCAAACAAGTCAAACTTGACTTTAATGAAAATGGTCATTTAATATCTAATGATATTACTTTTTAAAATTTCTTATATATTCTCAATTCGCTCAATACTCAATGAAAATGAATGTAATAAATTATTTATAATAAATAAATACTATAGGTCAGTATCTAGAACTAAGCAAATAATTAATATTAATACAACGTAAACTGATAAAAATTAAATAAGATATCACGACATATAGCCTAATTATTTTCTTTTATAGTAACTGTTCTAATATAATTTTTAAAAAAGCATACAGCAATTCATGTTAATTTCATGTCTTCTGCATTTATTTTAGATATCATTTGATTTATAATTTATATCTATGAAAAGAGTTTTAAAATGTTTATGTATTTCAAAAGGCCAGTTTATATGTAAGCTACAAAAAGGAAGATGGAGGCAGTAGACAGATAACCAGCAGCAGACCTTTTCATGGTAACTTGATAATGTCTCACACAACACTGTACCATAGTCTTCATTTGGTCAGCCTGATACATTTTTATTCAAAGTAAAATAATAATAAGTAAAATAATGACACCAAACCAAAGCAGTGATGTACATGTTTTATTGGACATATCTTCCATTCAGTTAAAATGTAAAGAAACAAATGTACAAAAACAATTGGCCTATATTTACAATTCTTGTTAGTGTTGGTATATACAAAAAACAAATTGTAAATACAAAGAATTTGTTTCAGTTGTACTGGAATGTGTACATGTAAAATAGCACTGTGAACATGTATAATACACAACAATCAAATACTTGATTTAAAATTGTTAAATTGTGAGTCTGTTTTTCTGCTTTCGTGATTTTATTCATGTTTTGTGTGTGTGTGTATCTTGCCTGATACAATGGTGTTTAAGGTTACACATTTTAAACCTTTATTTGAATAAAAACATAAAACTTTTGAAAGCAATTGTTTATTTACAGAAGTGTGTTGTATTTGAATGTTGACTGATCTAGCTGCTTACACAGCTGATGTGTGTAGTGTAAATAAATTGGAATGTACACAAACTGAATGTACACAAAATAAATCGATCTGAATTTTTTAGCTGTACACTAAAATACAAGAACATTACTCTACTACATTTTCTATTCAAAACAAAATGTTTTTCTCAGAAAGATACATTTAACACATTCCTATTTAAACAAAGTGGAAATGTTAGCATAAAAGGCTTAGATAACTGAGGACATCAAAGCTATGCCACTAGAAACTACAATAAAGTTCACAACTATGTGGATCATAACTGGGTAACTATTACAAACTCATCAAACAAGTCTCAGATTTCACTATTTTATTAAAAACATTCTTATTTTCTTGTAAAATTTGTAAATTATGGGAAAAAAGGCACAAATTTAATCATTTTCTTAATTTAAAATATTGAAAAAATATCTGAGAAAATTTTAAGCTATCAATTACATTGGAATGTTTAAGTATATTTTTTTATACCAGTAATTAAAATGTACCAAGTTTTTAAAAAAATATAAACAAATACTGTATAAAATACTACTGTTATACAGTTAAGTTTTACTACTAAATAAAATTATAGTAAAAAACTTATGAAAAAAGTAACTAAAAAAGTAAAAACAAAATATACAATTTGTTTAGTATTTCAAACTTTGCATTAAAATTATATACATAAGCTCTTTTTAAAATATATGTAAATTAATATATTATGGAATGTTTTGAATAAACTGGCTGACAATTGGAAACATGAGTAAAGATCCCATTGATACCAGTGTATACAAGTAAGGCATTCTTGTCAGTTTGCTATAAATAGTACAGTACAAATTTAGCAAGTCAAGATCTACATTTACACAAACACATCCTTCTCTGCTTGGTCAAAAAACTTAGGATCTAAGGTTAAAACTCCTTGAGCTTCAGGACTGGGTTCTGTTCTCCTGCCTTCATCCCCTTGAGCTGTGTTGTGATGAGACGCTTGGTGTGGTGGACCTTGGTGTGGTGGACCTTGGCGTGGTGGACCTTGACGTGGTGGACCTTGGCGTGGTGGACCTTGATGTGGTGGACCTTGGTGTGGTGGACCTTGGTGTGGTGGACCTTGGTGTGGTGGACCTTGATGTGGTGGACCTTGGTGTGGTGGACCTTGGTATGGTGGACTTTGGTGTGGTGGACCTTGGTGTGGTGGACCTTGGTGTGGTGGACCTTGGTGTGGTGGACCTTGGTGTGGTGGACCTTGGTGTGGTGGACCTTGGTGTGGTGGACCTACCTGGGGGGACAGCTGAGCAGGGCTCCGAGGTGGTGGGTTACCTCGAGAGGTGTGTCCACTCTGTGACCTTGACACTGGGACAGGCCTGGTTTCACTCTGTTGGGCAGGTGATTTTTTAATTCCTTGGCGAGGTGCAGGAACTGGTTTGTTTTGCATAGGGGGAATCGGCCTAGACCTCGCTTGATGAGCCTGCTGAGCAGGGTAGGGGTGCTGGACGGGCGTGTTCCTTGGAGTCTGATAAATTGGTTCTGGAGTGGATGACTTAGTTTTAATTTCTGAGTCAACTTTTGGTGTTTGGTAAATAGGCTCTAGATGTTTCCCAGAAGATCTGGAAATGTCTGGTTGCTGTTTTGTTGGCTGTTGTCTGTTGGCCTGTGATGGTGTTTGGTAGATTGGTTCTGGGTTTGATCTCGGCGCCCCCCTGTGATAGCTGTCCTGCCCTGACCTAGCATGGGCAGATTGTGGGCCTAGATTGTCGGAGTGTCTAGCCCCAGCAGTATGCCCGTGCCTCTCATCATTGAGTTGCCTTGGTTCCTGCCCTGAAGACATCCCATCACCTGAAATCTGTCTGGGAAAGTTTTCTTCTCTGGAATTCTGTCTTGGAGTTGGTGCTGACAAATTTACCCGAGGTCCTGCTTCTAAGTTTTGTACACTAGCTGACCTCGTACCGGGGATTCTTTGCTGGTGGATGTCTGCTGATGTTGGTGTAGAATCGTGCCAGCTCCTGTGTTTAGCCATTATTTCTTCATCTCTGCTAGCTGGGTACCTGCCATCTGGAGCTTTCCTTGTTCGGTTGGGATGCTTTCTATCCTCATATTTGGTGTACTGGGCTGAATGGTCTTCAGGGACAGCACTTAGAGACATACTGTGAGAGCTAGCCAAGGACAAGCTGCTGGCGTGATGTTTCTCTCTGCTGTGGGCTGCTGCTTCCTTGCTGGGGTAGAGGGGCTTGGCTGACTGATGCTGTCTGCTGTCTGGCATTTTGCTGCTGCTGTAGTCACCCCTCAGGTTGCTGCAGCTCTGGGCTGTGTAGCCGTTTAAATTCTCCACTGGGCGGTCCCGGACCAAGCCTCGTCCTGAGAGGAAGGGGTCAAGGTCACTTCTCTTGAGCGAGACATCCCCGTACCCAGCGTAACTAAACCTCTTGTCCTCATGTCTGATGTCTTCATCCTCCAGACCAGCCCCACCCCCTCCAAAGTAAAGGTTGGTGCAGCTCTGTGACCTTGAACTTTCCGTCACACTGGGTATCTTAGAATATACACCAGCATGAGCCCCTCTTTGCTGATTCTTTTTATAATACACGCCATCCCTCGCAGCATTCTCACTTCTGGCACCAGATCTGGAATCTGAGGCATGACTCATATTTGGGCTATCTCTACTTGCATGTACATTAAGGCCATCTCTACTAGCACTCCTATTGAGGCCATCCCTACTTGTACTCCTATTTAGTCCATCCCTGCTAGCACTCCTATTTAGTCCATCCCTACTTGCATTCATATTGAGGCCATCTCTACTAGTACTCCTATTGAGGCCATCTCTACTAGCACTCCTATTGAGGCCATCTCTACTAGCACTCCTATTTAGGCCATCCCTACTTGCATATATCTCACTCCCTGTATTTTCTCCTCTTTCTGTCTCTCTTCTCTGATGTCCTTGACCTCTGCGAGTTCTATTTTTGTCATTCTTTCTTTCATCCCGCTGTCTTAAGCTCGCGTCTGCTGCGGCCTCTTGCCCTTCTTTCTGCTGGCTATTTCTGTTGTTGACAAGTTTAGCTGTGTTCTCTGGGCCCAGCTCAACTCTAAAGTTATCATTATCATCCTTCCCTCCAACTAGCATTGGTTTGTTTTCATTTTTGTCAGGCTTGTTGACATCATGATACGATCTCGAGTGGGTGAGGCTGGCAGTGAATAAATTATGTTCATTATCTGTTGATGAGTCGGATGAGGAGGACAGGTCTATGTGGCTGTCTGGATCTGAAGCATCCTCGGATGAGCTTGATGATGAGACGTACGCCCCAGGGTCCATGGAGGCTGTGAGGGTTGCTCTGGTGAGGGAGGGGTGCTGCGGGGAGTTGAGTCTGGCGGTGCCGAGGAGGTGAAGGCTGTTGGTGCTCCCTACCACAGTTGTTGATGTGAGGATGGACTGGGCACTCTGGGCTGGGGTGATGCTGGGAGGGGGAGAAATGGCCTCTTCGTACGAGGGGGGCTGGGCTGGGCCACCCTCTTGAGACCAACACACTGCCTGAAAAGTTGGAGATCAAGTCTTAATACATCTGTCAGTTATTTATCAGCACACCTATTAAGTCAACACAAGTCAGCGCACACACACCTATAAGTCAGCACACACACCCCAGTAAGTCAGCACACACACCCAAGTAAGTCAGCACACACACACCAGTAAGTCAGCACACACCCCAGTAAGTCAGCACACACACCCCAGTAAGTCAGCACACACACACACCTATTAAGTCAACACAACAAGTCAGCACACACACACCTATAAGTCAGCACACACACCCCAGTAAGTCAGCACACACACACCTATAAGTCAGCACACACACCCCAGTAAGTCAGCACACACACACCAGTAAGTCAGCACACACACACCAGTAAGTCAGCACACACACACCAGTAAGTCAGCACACACACACCAGTAAGTCAGCACACACACACCAGTAAGTCAGCACACACACACCAGTAAGTCAGCACACACACACCAGTAAGTCAGCACACACACCCCCGTAAGTCAGCACACACACACCAGTAAGTCAGCAAAAACTCACCATGTTCAGATACCCAATAGGTGTGTTCTGTAGGACCTCATCATAAGATGGTGGGTGCTCTCCAGAACTCACCGTCACACTCATCTGTACACTGGGGTTGTGTCTGCGCCTTCGCCGACCTAGTTTTAAGATTTGATGAACATCAATTTTTTTTTTTTTTTTTTTAATAAAACTAACTAGAATATACAAAACAATGATGTAAAAATGGAAATGTACAGAAGACATAAGTTAAATGTGAATCTTGTTTTTCAATAACACCACTGTGATGTTTTAATATCGTTATCTTGTGGATGTCATCTAGCAAGGTCAATTATTTAGTTAGCTTTGTCTGGTTAAAATAAAAAATTTGAGTCCAAAATTGACCTCGGTTCTGGGGGTTGGATTGCATTGGGTTCCCAAAGGCAGAGTTGTCCAAGCGCCGGCAGCGTCTAATGAAGACAATCAGGAGACAAATGACGATCACTAGGAAGACAGAAACAACCATGGGCACGATGACACCAACACTGATGGGGTAGCTGTCAGATGAGTAGCCTCTGTCCACAGACGCAGCGTCTGATTGATAGAATAAGACAAATTAATTAAGGCATCATTAGAGGTATTAAGGCATCATTAGAGGTATTAAGGCATCATTAGTGGTATTAAGGCATCATTAGAGGTATTAAGGCATCATTAGTGGTATTAAGGCATCATTAGAGGTATTAAGGCATCATTAGAGGTATTAAGGCATCATTAGTGGTATTAAGACATCATTAGTGGTATTAAGGCATCATTAGAGGTATTAAGGCATCATTAGTGGTATTAAGGCATCATTAGAGGTATTAAGGCATCATTAGAGGTATTAAGGCATCATTAGAGGTATTAAGGCATCATTAGAGGTATTAAGGCATCATTAGTGGTATTAAGACATCATTAGTGGTATTAAGGCATCATTAGAGGTATTAAGGCATCATTAGAGGTATTAAGGCATCATTAGTGGTATTAAGGCATCATTAGAGGTATTAAGGCATCATTAGTGGTATTAAGGCATCATTAGAGGTATTAAGGCATCATTAGAGGTATTAAGGCATCATTAGTGGTATTAAGGCATCATTAGAGGTATTAAGGCATCATTAGTGGTATTAAGACATCATTAGTGGTCTTAAGGCATCATTAGTGGTCTTAAGGCATCATTAGAGGTATTAAGGCATCATTAGTGGTATTAAGGCATCATTAGTGGTATTAAGGCATCATTAGTGGTATTAAGGCATCATTAGAGGTATTAAGGCATCATTAGTGGTATTAAGGCATCATTAGTGGTATTAAGGCATCATTAGTGGTATTAAGGCATCATTAGTGGTATTAAGGCATCATTAGAGGTATTAAGGCATCATAAGTGGTAGGCCTACAAGTTTCTTCTATTAGAAGTACAAGGTAAACATAAAAAATTATTGCTAAAATAAAACACACAATGTTGACCAAAAAAAGCTATTACTCACTGCACACAGAGGAAGCTTCATCACTTCTATCACCACAGTGATCATATGTATCACACTTGTAAGTTGCTGATATACAACGTCCATTGGAACATTTAAAGTAAAAATAGCTGTCAGAACAATCTGTAAAATAGACAAAAATATAAAATGTGTCAGAACTATCTGTATCACAGACAAAAATTTAAAAGATGTCAGAACAATTAGAATCATTTACAAAATATAATATGTTTGTTTTGTTCCCTCATGTTGTCATTAAATCTGTTTGTTTTGCTCCCTCGTGTTGGCATTATAATGTAATTTCCCCATTGTAAATTAGACTCACCATTCTTGTACATGGCATAGGCTATCAAGAGTGAATCATCATACATGTATTAGACTCACCATTCTTGTACATGGCATAGGCTATCTTGAGTGAATCATCATACATGTAACTCCCTTTCAAACGAATGTAGAAGCCCTCTCTGGACAAGAAGGCCTCAGTGTTGACATAGGAGAGAGCACCAGGAGCTATCAGTTTGTTGCCCAGGGATGTCAGACCATCATTTACTTCCAAACTGGAATCCCCTGTTACATGTAAGAAAAAAATGTTTACATGGTTGATAAGCAAATACTGCAGGGAAGAGTTGGTAAAAGCAGTTTCCAATTAGGAAAAAATTATTTTAAATTAAGAATGCATAACAATTGTGTTTAAAGTTAAATATCATTAATACATTTTTTAAATACATGGAAACTGAAAAGTACAAACCAAAACATAATACACCATGTGTTAATTAAGTGTTTTATATGCAATAAAAAGAATATGCACAGTTGTATTAAGCTATAATGGTACACCATGATTGGACATCCAAAAATATCATGACCACATTATTTCCACAACATGTGTATGTATGTATTTTATACAACAAGATGTACATCCATGGTTGAATGTCATTACAGTACTCATATTTAGCTATGGGCTTACACAGTTTACATCTTTTTAATCAATTATTTTGGGCACTTTTATTTTTATATCTTTGTTTACTAATTAATCCTGTAGCTAAAGAACAGTTAATTTTTTTATTTGCATTTAAGTTTTTTTAAATGCTTCATTTTAAAACAAGCCTTTTCTTTTTTAAATTCTGAAACACAGATGGGTGCTGCACCTGAAGTTGCTCTGTAGCGCACCACTTTAAGGTACACTCCATCATAGCCTGGTGCCTTCTTGATCAGCCATATACAGTCATGATTTTTTCCATCTGCTACCTCTTCTAATGAGATTATCCCACCTTCAGCGGTTATCAAATGGTCACAGCCTGGGGAAATAGCATCCAATAATTTATATGCAAGGACTAACAACTTCTGGCCATAGTATTTGTTGTTAGAATAATAGTAAATAGCATCCAATAATTAATACAGATGTTAAGTCTTATATGCAAGGACTAAAAACTTCTGGCCATAGTATTTGTTGTTAGAGTTATAGTAAATGCATCTCTTATTTTAGAGACAGTAGCATGGAAGAAATCTATATACATGAAATGTCTCAAGATCACATTTTGTTTATACTTTAATTCTGAGAATTTTAGGCCCAATCGCTATTATTTAGCACTGGTAAATAAAATAAAAAATTATTTACCCATTTCCACAGTTGGTATTTCTGTTCTGTCTGTTGAAACAAAAATTTAAAAATTACACCTGGACAGGACAAGCTATTTCAATGTAAACTCACATTTCAATTTATCAATCACAAGTTTTTAAACTTACTTCCAGAATATACTATTCAAAATTAAAACAAATAATTTATTAAGTCAAGTTAATTAAAAGTGTTACAGTCAAGATAAATGAAAATTATGTTTACAGATGGTGTCAGGACAATTACATATCTTGAAAATATCTTTAGGGTTTATTTATAAAGAATGTGCTGATTTGTTGGTATATGGTTTAGTTTAAAGACTTTACATATGGTTTAGTTTAACTCTTCAAGACTGTAAAGATGCACCCAGCAATCGACATGCCAGTCTGCTATGCACTAAAGATGCAACCAGCGTCCAATAAATTTGTTTCTATTTAATTCATTGTTTCTTTGAATCAAAGTTTTTAATCGTAATTCTAAGTTATGATATCCCTAGAGCAGCCATTTTTTGTTGTATTTACTTCTTGTAGTTTACTAGTTGGGTTGACTTTGTACTTTTAAAGAAAATGTTTTTATAAAACCATTTTCGAAATGGCATTTTTTGATACTGCAAAACACTAATCTAAACATATAAGTCACTGCATTATAAAATTAACCATTAATTGAAATAAGTATTTGTGCTAATACTAATCTGATCCATGATTTTTGTAAAAAAAAAATGGAAATACTTTCATTTTCTATAATTTTACAGACAAAAGCATACTGTTTGACCGTAAAAAATCAACTCTTTTTTCTTTAACTAAGTAATTATCTTTCTTCAACAAATAAAAAATTACTTAAAATTTTTAGAATTGTGTATGGCATTCAATTATGATTAATTTATATCAGTAATGTGTTGGTTTTAAATCAACTGGTTAAAAAAGATAGAAGTTGTTTTGCTGTAGGGGTACTAACAGAAATTGAGTGAAAAAAAATTATTTTGGTAAAACGTGAAAACAATTACAAGCTTAAAGAAACCAAAGGAGTTACAGAGAAAACACAACATGGAGAAGAACCAGTTGCAAGTGTATGGGATTACAGGGGCAACAAGTTCTGAGGTGAAGAGCATATTAGTGACCAGAATTTTTTTTAAAATAAGTTCCCTGAAGGCTGCTTACAGAATATGAAGAACAAGAATTACGAAGACTGACCAGAATAGAATCTTGCCACTGCCTTGAAACCCGGAATGGTCAATCCAGCGTAAGTGTTCAAGCCAGTATCAAAGGTCATGGTCACTGATGAGCCGTCTGATATGACATAAGGCCTGTTGCTATCTCCACTTAAGTCATGGACATTTGCACCTGTGAACTAATTAACAAAATATAATTTCAGATTTTTTTCAAATTGTTACAAGTCAAAGTAAACCTTATGTTTCAAAATTATTCTTAAATGTCCCCAAGGGTTGTTTTTATACTGTTCATGTGGAGTTTGTTGCCTTCTTTAAAAAAAAGAATAAATGAAGCATGTCACAGCAATGCTTTCTGTAACATCTTTATACTATATTTATAATATAAATAACATCTATTATAGTAAAAATACAAAAAAATATCTATTAGGGTAAAAAAAATATTTACAATAACTTTAGCAGCAGGGGAAATAAGCCAGTCATCAAACGTAAAAGTTACATAATCTGTTTGTTGCAGCCCATTAAAGTTGAAAATATACTGCTCGCTGTTTGGTACATAGGATGATGGGAAGTATGGACTACTAAGTAGATAAATGTTGCCGTTATTTGTACCAGAAATAGTTTGACTCTTTTCTGTTTGAAGAAAGATAAATAATATATATAATTCAGATCATTTTATTGAACAAAAATATTAACAGAAACAATCATCTGGTGCTTAAGCACTAGCTCTGTCACTTTGTATGTTTGGCTAAGAAATGGGTAAACGGAAAAAAAGTCACAGGAAAAAAAAACACAGAAAAAAAGTCACAGTTTTTGCTAGGAAAAAAAGTCACAGAAAAAAAGTCAGTGGAAAAATTTTATCGGAAAAAAAGTCACAGAAATAAAGTCACAGAAAAAAAGTCACAAAAATCTTTTTAGAAATATTTTTTATTAATTTGATAAAAATTGTAAAATTTTGTATGTTTAATATTGTGGGTTGTATTTTTTGATAGCATAAATTATTTATAGACGTTAAAAGCATTATGATTTATAACAATTGTAGGTAAAAAATACTCTAAGATAATTAACACAGCAATCTCAACATTTGTTACGTATTTAGTTAAATACGCGGTGGAAAAGTTAATTATAAAAGAAATTTAGGCATATTTTGCCGTAGGCTATTCTCTGGTCGGCCTCTCCTCAGTAGGCATTGTCCGAGCATATTTTGTGTTGTTGACGTTATGCGTCATCGACAGCCTTTGAACCTTGTCGGCTTTCTGTTTTGAACCTAATTTTTGTTAGGTAATGAGCGTGATAAATGTGGGAAGTAAAGGTGGTTGAACTAAACATAACTATTGTTGCCATGAGTCGAGGGCAGCAAGTCAGATGAACTTACCATTTCACAGTAATTTAATGTTGGTATTTAAAAAAAAAAACATGATGAAAAATGTGGACTTTGGAGCATTCTATTAAATGCTACTAATCTTAAGTTTAAAATAATTACAATCTACATACTTCATAATAAATATTTTTAGATGAATTATAAAAATTCCTATGCATATACAGCCTACACACATTACATTTAATTAATCCTAAGTTAATTTGCACTCTCTAAATATTTAATACATAAAAGTGTTAACAAATATCATGCAAATATATATTTGTGACTTTTTTTCCTGTGACTTTTTTTCCTGTGACTTTTTTTCTGTGTTTTTTTTTCCTGTGACTTTTGTTCCTACAATCAAGAAATGATGAGTTACCTTCAACAGTCAAGCGCAGTCTTATTGTAAGATTTGTAGCTTCAAAATAAGGAGAAGATGCTGGGGTTGATCCACATGAAATAATATAGAGCTTTGATGACATGCTACTGTAGTTGTTTGGTAAGACAGAGGAATACACGCGCAGGCTGGTTTGATTTTTGTAATCAGCATCATAAAGTTGAAAATAATATCTGGAAAATAATTTATCAGCATCATAAAGTTGAAAATAATATCTGGAAAATAATTTATCAGCATCATAAAGTTGAAAATAATATCTGGTTAACCTGCCCCAATGGCCATGGATGAAAAACAATTCAGTAATAACAAAAGTAGAAATACTTTAATAGAGAGAGACTTGGGCTGTGGTTAGATATCTATAAATATAATTCTCTTCATCTGGGTCACAACACAGACGTAAGCTCAACCGACCATATCGCTACCACCCCCACTCCCAACAGTCTGGTGAGCTGTTTACTATCGGATCAAATTAGTGACAACTATTAGGGGCAGATAATTTAATTTTTAAACGATTTGAAACTAAGGGGAGGTAATAACACATTCTGCTTGATCTCTTTATTGCCATCTGTAAACTGTCGTCACGGATGGCTGCTTTTACGCGGGAGGGGGTAGGGCAGAGGAGTGGAAAGTGAAGGTGAGGATAATCGTCCTTCACTAACTACTGATAGTGTTTTAAAGCAAAATATTTTCAGTCGCAGCATTGGTAGTGTCGAATTCACAAAATATGAAAAAAAAGGAAATAAAACTAAATAGTGGTGTATGCTACGTCGCGGGTCAGCTTGTGGGAGTTTAGTTTTGTTAATCTTATGTTACATTATTTTTAGAACCTTTTTTTTAAAAATGCTCCCCAATATGTCCAGCGCTAAAACACAATTTAAGTCAGTAAAACAATCTAATGTCTTCCTGAAGTAAACAATTTAATGTTGTTTTCCTCAAGAAATCTAGTAAAAATGTTAATTAACAGTGCTCCAAAATATAACCCAAAAATTATTTGCTAATAAATGCCTAAAAACTGTGAATATTTACTTGTCAGCTATAAAATATATCTCAAGGAAAATAAGAAGTAGAAAAATCAAGAACCTGAAGTAAGCAGTGAATAAAACAAGTAAAGAATCTGATGTATGCAGTAAAAAAATTAAGTAAAGAATCTAAAGTAACCAGTTAAAAATCAAGTAAAGAATCTGATGTATGCAGTAGAAAAATTAAAGTAAAGAATCTAAAGTAACCAGTTAAAAATCAAGTAAAGAATCTGATGTATGCAGTAGAAAAATTAAGTAAAGAATCTAAAGTAACCAGTTAAAAATCAAGTAAAGAATCTGATGTATGCAGTAGAAAAATTAAAGTAAAGAATCAGATGTTAACAATAAACAAAAAATCAAGTAAAGAATCTGATGTAACCATTAAACAAATAATCAAGTAAAGAATTTGATATAAGCATTAAACAAATAATCAAGTAAAGAATTTGATATAAGCATTAAACAAAAAATCAAGTAAAGAATTTGATATAAGCCTTAAACAAAAAATCAAGTAAAGAATCTGATATAAGCAATAAACAAAAAATCAAGTAAAGAATTTGATATAAGCATTAAACAAAAAATCAAGTAAAGAAGATTTGCAGGTTCAGGAGAAATATTAATTTTGAAACAAAAATTTTCTTCAGAAGGAAATATCTGATTCTCACAACAACAAAAACTATTAAGTCGCATCTCTACTGATAGATCAGCTATAAAAAGTTGTTTAAAAATAAAACAACAATTTATGAATAAACTAAACATCTAAAATATTTACCCCCGGTCACAGTCTGAGTCTCCACTCTGTGTTCTATAACGAGATTCCTGTGGTGCGGTGAAGTTGAAGGAATTGACTGCCTCAATTCTTATACGACAAGAGGAGCAGGTCTTGATAAACAGCTCACATCTGGATGATGGGCTGGAGGTCCAATTAGCAAACACCTCTGTGGTGTCCCCTAGGGCACTCATGTAGATTGAATTGGGGCCAGTGAAGGCTGTTTTGGGGTTGCAGACATCATACTCTATATAAGAAATATTCAGGTTATTTAAAATTTTCACTTTGTCACCTACACTTATTCTAAGATTGTTGTATATTTTAAGGCTTAGTGATTGGTTGTTTCTTATTGAAGAGCTGGATATTAGTTATGTTTCCCAGCAAGCACCTATCACTCACGGCAGGAAATGGCCAAAGCTCTTATTTCTTCAAATAATCCTTAAGCAGTATCATGATCTCCATTTAAGACAGAGTTATGATCTTCTGCCTGCTCTCTAAGCCTCATAAAATACTTTTACGACTCTGTTAAACTCAGCTGCCATTTTTAAACATCTACACATGAAAAGACACAAAGCTAAATCTACAGAAAGTCACTAAAATAATTGTGAGTGTTTTCCTTTTAAATTGAAAGAAAAGATAATCTGAAGATAGAACATAATTTTCTTCTCTAGGCCTATTTAGTTACTTCACAGAAAATTAAATTATGTCTATTTGCAGGATATTAGCAGCATTTGTGCCTCAACTCAAGGGAAATATTAAATGATCACTCACAAATTAAATGTCTATTTCTAATCATTACTTTATTTTATCTACTAGCAGACTAAAGTATTAGACTTTTAAATGTCTCCCTTAATGAAAACTAAAAATTTCAGTTTTAAACCAACAAACTTTGAATATTTATTATCTTGTCCTGTACCAGACATTGAGTCACATTACTCACACCAAAGGACATACCCACCAAAGGCTGGAAACTCCTCCATTAGAAACAGAAGGTTGTATTACATGAGCTGTGGCAACTGCACACTCCATCCACCCCCACCCCCCTAATATAATACAGTGGTGTCATTGTAAGTACAATAGAAAAAACACAATAATCAGAAATGAATGAAACTGATCTTTGGCATACCTGGCCGCAAATCAAGTGAAACTGCATTGCCAGTTTGTGTGAGTTCCATCAGTAAAGCCACTGAAATGGAGCAAAAATTGAGTACAAGTTTACATTTTGTACACTTGAAGCTTCTAGCAAATAAAATACATTAGCTTTTGTTTTAGCTTACAGATCAAAACTTCACAAATAACATTTTAATTGAGTGAAAAATGTGTTCAAGTTACACAATCAGTACATTAACATAAGCCCACTCAGAATACAGAACCAACAAGCCCGCTAACAATAGAGACCCAACTGATGTCAATAAGCCCACTTACAAGAGAGAATAATGTCAACAAGCCCACTTACAATAGTGAAGTAATAAATGTCAACAAGCCCACTTACAATAGAGAAGCATTTAATGTCAACAAGCCCAATTAGAAAGACAACAAATGTCAACAAGCCCACTTACAATAGAGAAGTAATGTCAACAAGCCCACTTACAATAGAGAAGCAACAAATGTCAACAAGCCCACTTACAATAGAGAAGTAATGTCAACAAGCCCACTTACAATAGAGAAGCAACAAATTTCAACAAGCCCACTTACAATAGAGAAGTAATGTCAACAAGCCCACTTACAATAGAGAAGTAATGTCAACAAGCCCACTTACAATAGAGAAGAAACAAATGTCAACAAGCCCACTTACAATAGGGAAGCAACAAATGTCAACAAGCCCACTTACAATAGAGAAGTAATGTCAACAAGCCCACTTACAATAGAGAAGAAACAAATGTCAACAAGCCCACTTACAATAGGGAAGCAACTAATGTCAACAAGCCCACTTACAATAGAGAAGTAATGTCAACAAGCCCACTTACAATAGAGAAGAAACAAATGTCAACAAGCCCACTTACAATAGGGAAGCAACAAATGTCAACAAGCCCACTTGCAATAGAGAAGTAATGTCAACAAGCCCACTTACAATAGAGCAGCCATCCTAAGTGCAGAGGGTCAGTCACTGACTTGTGCCTCATGATGACCTTTATGTAAACTGTTGTTGTATGTCCAGTAACCAATTTGTGATGTCCATGTTGCCATATGCCTGCAGATAAAACAGAACATTTTCAAATCATTCCGGAGTTTATCTTTTTTTTGAGCTAACATGGTCTTTTAAATTCAACCAAATAAAAAAAGTCACCCCCCCCCCCCTCCCCAAACAAAAACTGCATAGTGTATGTTAACATTTTTTTATTATTATAACCTAACAGTAAGTTGATTATCCTTATATAACCTTACTTTATGTTGATTATCCTTATATAACCTTACAGTAAGTTGATTATCCTTATATAACCTTACAGTAAGTTGATTAGCCATAAGTTCCTTTTTTAACCAGGCAGCCCTTGGGGCAGGTGAAGTAGAGCTCACCTGTTTCTGTGTATGAAGGGATAGTGTGGTCAGCACTCTGCCCAACTGCCCATACTTTCCCTAACCTAAGTCAGGTACCCATCAAAGTAGGGAGAGGGCTAGCAGTCAAATGCTCTACCATTTGACCACATTGTTCCTAATTAACTAAACAAAATAATAATTTAAGTTAATAGGAAGATTATTTAGTTTACTGTCAAACAAAATAACACACAGAAAAGTGCTTTTGGTTGCTTTGGTTTTTTTTAATATATTATAATTTTCTTTAAATACCCATGTTTTTAATATTAATAATAGAAAACATTGAAACAATTGCCTTTTTAGTTCGTTTTTTTAAATTATTTCAGCACTCTCATTTCCATTAAAGTCAGACCCCTCTTACACCCCCCCCCCCTGGAGACATTTGATAATTTAACTATCAAAATTCAAACTATAACTTTTTTTTTAAATCGTGTAGCTATATCAGTCTACTTATCAGATATAAATCTAATCTTCAAGTTTTGAATATTCTGTGCATGCTGTAGGACTAGGCCTATGTTGTTTAATTGTTTGATGGGTTGTCCCACACAAAAAGTGATGACGTAATGACTTGTCTGCTGCAGGTTGTGTAAACGACTTTGTCCACGGCCGTTTAACACTACAGGTGTAAAATCACAGCCCACCTGCCAAATAGTCGACAGGAGAATCAAAGAACGATCATCCCACGCGAAGACAAATCCGAGGACAAGTCGCTAGGTCGCGTACACATTTTAAACATGTTGTGTTAGTTGTGTTAGCCCCAGTCGTGCGCATGCGTGTGTTCGTTAAGTTGTATTTCTGGTTGTAGCTCTAAGTCTAAGCTTGGACAAATAGGCTACTTAGGCCTTAGGTGAATTAATTATAGAAAATAGCCATGGATCCTACGATATCCTGTTACAGCTATAAGGATAACGGATAAAAGGATTATATTAAAAGAGTAACAACAATGATAATACTTTGTAGGATATATTTGAACTCAATCCCCCCTTTAGAAATCGAAGTTCCCACGGCCTGATGAATCCGTTAGGTAAGGTTTAGGGATCAACTGACATCAATTTAAAAATTTTGACAGTGGATTAACTGATCAACTGGCTGTTCACACGGTTTAGTGCGGTTTAAATACAAAATAACCCCCGTTGACCCTCGAAAACCAAAACATCGGACAAAAAGACAGGTATAAATAGAAACATGACGTAGTAATCCCCCCAAGACAATTCCAGAATTAGTTTTGGCTTTCTAGTGTTACATTTCCCTTTCCTGTTCCTTAATCCCCGTACTGTGTAGAAAATGTCTGCCTGTGGGGGTCGGGGGGGGGGGGGGGAACGATAGGCTCGATTATAATTGTAAAGTACAGTAGACGTTCTGGAACTTTTGTATCAGCGTTCTGCACAGACAGAAAACACGGCTCGGGCTTGTCGCACCAAATAAAAGAGGATCTCAATCGTGCACGATTTAACTCACTATAGATCATCGTGAGAATTTCTATGATGTAGATATATGTGTACATAGTCTGTGTACCTCGGTCTAAACAACATGCCGTGTCATAGGTCAAAGGTGAGTCTACATCAACAGGTAGATGTGTACTTTAGCCAGGCGGGCAGGGGAGGGGGGGGGGGGGTAATGATGTCGACCTAAGCCACACAGAAATAATTGACACAAACTAGTGTACGATGTTTTAAGGGCCAAGCACACCAAGTAAGATCGCCTAAAAACCACAGGACTGCCATCAACAACATATAGAATTATCAGCTTAACTCCTGTAAGACATCGGACGAAACCACACGAAGACATCAACCTAACCACACGAAGACATCAACCTAACCACACGAAGACATCCACCCAAACCTCACTGACCCCATCGAACCAAGCCATCGTAGACTCGAACCAATCACCACGCGGGACTCACGTGACCATCACTTCTACGCCTTGATTCTTAGGTCCTAACTAAGACTTGGCGAAGATGCCATGCATGGCCGCTGTACATTAGCTTTACTTATAGCTTTTAGCTCCGATGTGTTGTTGAACGAGTCAATGTGTGTGCTCAGCCAACCGTGAAGAGGAAGTCAAAACAAGATTCGTCAGACATAAATTATTAAGCATGTAGCGTATAGTATTGCGCACACAGGGTAACAATAGCCCCATGTAAATCTCGTGACTTAAATAACCATGACTGTACTGTAACATTGTGAACCGCTTTAATAACTTTTCCATTATTTGATGCGTGAGCACCGCGGTATATTCTACACACCAAGGGGGGGGGGGGAGCGTCACATTTCTTCCTTCCCCCAACCACTCTCGTCAGCCAATTGTTTTTAGGTTGAGAAAAATAAACAATAGAAAATTAAATGAATGACGACTTCGGGAGATGTGGGGTGTTAGTAAATGACGTCACACCCTTAAAGCCATTCAACCCTGCCCCCCCCCCCCTTTCGGTGAAAATAACCCAGATCTTTTTTGTCCTTTAAAAACACAAAACAAAAAAAAATACTCCGCCTCCTAAAAAAAAAATCCGTCTAATGACATGAACCAACCAATCAAAGTAACTAGCAGTGCTGAAAAATAAAGTCGCAACTCAAATAATTCTACCAAGGGGAATGGGCGTAATAAAATATTTATTTTATATAAAATATTTATTGAATAGGCCTGACTAGATTAGGTAGCCTTCATACATTGGGTCTACAGATTCAGGTAGCCTTCATACAGTGGGTCTACAGATTCAGGTAGCCTTCATACAGTGGTCTACAGATTCAGGTAGCCTTCATACAGTGGGTCTAAAGATTCAGGTAGCCTTCATACAGTGGGTCTAAAGATTCAGGTAGCCTTCATACAGTGGGTCTACAGATTCAGGTAGCCTTCATACAGTGGGTCTACAGATTCAGGTAGCCTTCATACAGTGGGTCTACAGATTCAGGTAGCCTTCATACAGTGGGTCTACAGATTCAGGTAGCCTTCATACAGTGGGTCTACAGATTCAGGTAGCCTTCATACAGTGGGTCTACAGATTCAGGTAGCCTTCATACAGTGGGTCTACAGATTCAGGTAGCCTTCATACAGTGGGTCTAAAGATTCAGGTAGCCTCCATACAGTGGGTCTACAGATTCAGGTAGCCTTCATACAGTGGGTCTACAGATTCAGGTAGCCTTCATACAGTGGGTCTACAGATTCAGGTAGCCTTCATACATTGGGTCTACAGATTCAGGTAGCCTTCATACAGTGGGTCTACAGATTCAGGTAGCCTTCATACAGTGGGTCTACAGATTCAGGTAGCCTTCATACAGTGGGTCTACAGATTCAGGTAGCCTTCATACAGTGGGTCTACAGATTCAGGTAGCCTTCATACAGTGGGTCTACAGATTCAGGTAGCCTTCATACAGTGGGTCTAAAGATTCAGGTAGCCTCCATACAGTGGGTCTACAGATTCAGGTAGCCTCCATACAGTGGGTCTACAGATTCAGGTAGCCTTCATACAGTGGGTCTACAGATTCAGGTAGCCTTCATACAGTGGGTCTACAGATTCAGGTAGCCTTCATACAGTGGGTCTACAGATTCAGGTAGCCTTCATACAGTGGGTCTACAGATTCAGGTAGCCTTCATACAGTGGGTCTACAGATTCAGGTAGCCTTCATACAGTGGGTCTACAGATTCAGGTAGCCTTCATACAGTGGGTCTAAAGATTCAGGTAGCCTTCATACAGTGGGTCTACAGATTCAGGTAGCCTTCATACAGTGGTCTAAACATTCAGGTAGCCTTCATACAGTGGGTCTACAGATTCAGGTAGCCTTCATACAGTGGGTCTACAGATTCAGGTAGCCTTCATACAGTGGGTCTACAGATTCAGGTAGCCTCCATACAGTGGGTCTAAAGATTCAGGTAGCCTCCATACAGTGGGTCTACAGATTCAGGTAGCCTTCATACAGTGGGTCTACAGATTCAGGTAGCCATTGTACCGTGTAACGTAACGTGATCTTTATCTGCAGGTATTGCTGTAAGGCTGGGTTGGGTAACGGATGCAGATCGTTACGTCAGTGTGTGTTCTATACCAGCATTAACAGCATAAGCTTAACAAAGTATAAATATCGCTGAGGGGAGGGGGGGGGGTTGGAAACACTATGGGATCCTCCAATAATGGGCATCATACTTCTGGGTAGGGGGTTGGTTATATGTGTGTGCCCATGTTGACAAATGGGAATTGGGGGGTAACGTGTGGACGACCTCTAAACAAAACAAAGAAAGTGAAAGAGAAGAGAATGAAATTTTGCAGGCGACACTATTGACTTAATCTACACAAGCCCCGCCGTGCACTCTAGCGGTGCAGCTCATAAATTATGTCAGTACACACGGGGTTCTATGGCATAGTATTTACACTATCTTGTGTGCTGGATTAGGCTATACATAATCTACTCTCTAGGCTATACATAATCTACTCTCTAGGCTATACATAATCTACTCTCTAGGCTATACATAATCTACTCTCTAGGCTATACATAATCTACTCTCTAGGCTATACATAATCTACTCTCTAGGCTATACATAATCTACTCTCTAGGCTATACATAATCTACTCTCTAGGCTATACATAATCTACTCTCTAGGCTATACATAATCTACTCTCTAGGCTATACATAATCTACTCTCTAGGCTATACATAATCTACTCTCTAGGCTATACATAATCTACTCTCTAGGCTATACATAATCTACTCTCTAGGCTATACATAATCTACTCTCTAGGCTATACATAATCTACTCTCTAGGCTATACATAATCTACTCTCTAGGCTATACATAATCTACTCTCTAGGCTATACATAATCTACTCTCTAGGCTATACATAATCTACTCTCTAGGCTATACATAATCTACTCTCTAGGCTATACATAATCTACTCTCTAGGCTATACATAATCTACTCTCTAGGCTATACATAATCTACTCTCTGGGCGGCAATATATTGTGTGCTGGATTAGGCTATACATAATCTACTCTCTAGGCTATACATAATCTACTCTCTGGGCGGCAATATATTGTGTGCTGGATTAGGCTATACATAATCTACTCTCTAGGCTATACATAATTTACTCTCTAGGCTATACATAATCTATTCTCTAGGCTATAAATAATCTACTCTCTAGGCTATGCTCGCATGCGTGTGGTCTAGAAGTGTTTGACATGGCAGAATGAAAACAGCTAGTCTGGCTTGTCCAGTCAATTGATGTGTGAGTGATGCAACGAAATAACAAACGGGGGGGGGGGGGGGGGGGGGGGGGTAACAAACCGACAGACGAGGTAACAAATCGGTAACAAACGGGCGGATGGAGTGGTGTAACAAACGGACGGACGGAGTAACAAATGGAGATACGAGGTGACAAAAGGTGAATTGAGTGAATGTACAATTGAGTGAATGTACAATTGAGTGAATGTACAATTGAGTGAATGTACAATTGAGTGAATGTACAATTGAGTGAATGTACGCTACAAGCTGACAAAAAAATATGCAGTGCCCGATATAAAACAATAAACTTGTTCACTCAACACATTGGTTCAAACAAAACAAATGGTAGCCATGTTTAGCATCAATATTTGTAAGAGTAGCGGGGTGGGGGGGGGGGAGGAGGATCACTGAATAAATAGACATTAGGCCACTAGGTTGTGACATATTAAATACTTGACATGTTGTTTCACTATAATTATAAATAATACTGCATAGACTGTTGTTTCAAGATCATTAAAATACTGTTTAGACTATAGTATAGTCTAAATTATACTGCTGTAGGTCTGACTTTCCATGAAACTGGTGGGCCAATAAATTACTAATATGTTGTGTAGAGGCTAAAGAAAAAACACATCCACCCCACCAAATGAAAGACATACTTGACCATTTAGGCCAGAGTTACCACACAAATATACACCACCATCAGTTTGACCAACAGACTTCCAACCACAAAATAAACAATAGCATAGAGCAGTTTTTAAAAGACCACAAATTAACAGAAACAATAGCATAGAGCAGTTTTTAAAAGACCACAAATTAACAGAAACAATAGCATAGAGCAGTTTTTAAAAGACCATAAAATGAACACAAACATACAATAACATACTGATATTTTTAAAAGACCAAAAGATTAACCCCACTGTTTCTTCCATACTTTTTTTTACCGGGGTGGGCACTTGAAATTGGGTTGGGGGGGTGGGGGACTAGAACTTCCAGTGGGGGTGCGGACACTGTGAAAAGTATATATTTTTTATATTTTCTATATAAATTCCATTTTGTTTGGGGGGGGGGGGCAGAACCCCTCCCCGAAGAGATGCCTGGAAGAATCACTGATTAGCCCACAAAAACATTTAGCTATTTCTAAAAGACCAGAAAATTAACTCAAATTATTCTTTAACGATGACAACGAGACTCGAGAGGCAACTAATTATTTATAGAACAGGATATTTTTTTAAATCCCCAAACTTCCCTGGATTTAATGAGTTAAAAGCAGGCAAAAGTTTGCTATCATTATCTATCTGCACATTCAGTAGACCATGCAATATATTAAATAATTTTTACAAGCAGAACTTTGAATGAATGAAACATATTTGAACACAATTTTATACTAACAATCTTTTAATTACCCTTAATGGATAAGGCTGGCTGAGGTGAAGACAACCGAGGAAAAGTACTACAACCAAAAAACATACAAAACACAATTATTATATGCTGAAATTTCTTTTATAATTAATTCTTCTGCCATGTATTTAACTAAATACATAACTAAAGTTGAGGTTGCTTTGTAAATTCTTTTAGAGTATTTTTACTTATTATTATTATAAATGAAGATTTTTCTTTGTTTGTTTTTTCCTGTGACTTTTTTCTACCCACCTAGGTAACACCCCATTTATTTTCCATTTTGGTGGATGGTGTCTGTCTGTCTGTAGTTAATACAATATCCTAGGAAGGCATTAATGGAACTACATACACAGTAATAACAATAATAACAGTAATAACAATAGGCCAAATTAGACTTATATTAATCTAGTATAGGCCTAGGGCCTATATAGGCCTACGAAATTATTATTTAGCTTACTTTGTTAATTGAATAATTCTAATAAATAAGACTCTATTTAAGTAAGCTAAGTAAATAATATTAACAATGATCAATATTAATACAGTAGTACTACTACTAAGTACTAAGTAGTATGCCTATCTATGGCCACAATAGTGAATGATAGTGTATAAGCCTACTACTTTTACTAGATCTAGATATACTAGTCTAGATCTTTTATAATATTAGTATATCTAGGCTATATCATATGACATATTAGGCATATCTATTTTTTATCCTATATTTTTATATATGGGGTTCCGGGTTGCAAAATCAAAACAAGAACTCGACATTTGTTTTTTTGCGAGGTCATCCTGAACAACGCGTTACTGTTACTACAGTCTAGTTTAGATGAACGTGTGATATTTACCTATACTATTTAGACCTAGATCTATAGCTTCTAGACTAATTACTACAATTGCACTAAATTGTGTTACTCACCAAAATTTACGACCGTTGGATAATGTGTTCCAGTTTACATTTTCCGGGTAGACCTAATTAATTTTCTATACTGCTATTATCCGTACGGGAAACGACGCAACATACACTAACAACATAAACTGATGACGTCAAAAGGTAAAAGCACAAAAGTTGATTCCGGAAATGCTACCTGTTCAATAAAAAAAACGTTCAAAATTCATAATATTTTTTATCGCTACGCTAATGAGAAAAATAAAAACACTACAAGATCGTGTGCACAAATAAAAAGACTTTCAATATTGTGATCTTATAACAGCAATCATTTTTTGAACAATGTTTTTTACTTGCTTTAGCGCCAAAATAAGACAATCGGTTGAGGGGAAAGAACTCCTGCAATACAAATAGCGCGAATTAATATGTTGAGTTCTCGTTCATGGAATTTATATAGAAAATATGAAAATATATTACTCTTTTAACAGTGGCGCACCCCCCCCCCCCCCCCGGAAATTTTAGTCCGCTCCCCCTCCCCCGAAAATTTCAAGTGCCCCCCCCCCCCCCCCAATTTATTTATTTATTGGCTGAAACGGGGAAAGTGATTAATAAACAACCCGGTTGTTGCTTTTAAATTGGTAAATTTTAAAGATTGGTTTATTAGTATTTTCTTTTCTTTGTTTTATGTTGCATCATGCAATACCAAACATCTTAAGGGTCATCCGTAAATCACGTTAAACTGGTAGGGGGAGTGGGGTCCGTAATTTTGTGAGAATGTGTTATAAGAGATAGGTCACGGTTTGTTTTTTGTTTTTTTTTTTTGCTGTGTTTGTTTTAATGTTTTTTACCCCTTCCCTTTTCCCCAACGTCACACATCTTAGCAAATAAAATTTGGATTTTAGTTCGTTTTGTTTTTTTGTTTTTTTTTAAATCTCGGTCAACATTGTTTAATAATATAATATTACAATTTAAAAAAAGAAGTGGGTTACAATGGAGTTACAAGATTTATGGAGCTACATACAAATATTTATATAGGCCTATGGGGGTCATCCATAAATGACGTCATGCTTTTTAAACGACTTTTACCCCCTCCCCCTTCTGTCACACATTATCATAAAAAGCCAGACCCCCCCCCCTAAAATGACGTCACACCTCAGCCTACAACCCCCCTAACATTGCTTTTTTATAATGCAAAAGTGTGACGTCACACCATATGACACCCCCCCTCCACATCACACACCGTCACAAAGGAATCCCTCCCCCCTACGAGTGTGACGTCATTTATGGACGACCCCTGTGTAGTGAGATGTTGTTTACCAATTACTTATAGTGTTATTTTGCTTTAACAGAAAACAGCGTGGCAACAAGTCAAACTTATCCATGAGCTTGCCGGTGATTTGATCCGGCAGACCGGTCGTCAGATGACGGAGGTCCGGTCGTGAGATGACGGAGGACCGGCAGACCGGTCGTGAGATGACGGAGGTCCGGTCGTGAGATGACGGAGGACCGGCAGACCGGTCGTGAGATGCCGGAGGACCGGTCGTGAGATGCATATGACGTCAGCAGGGCGCGTCTCTCAAGGCCCGGCCCTCCGTGTCGTCTGGAACCACCGGATGCTGACCGTGCTGCTGAAAACACACCGGCCATTGTTTACATGTGTAGGTGTGTTATGATAACACGGGGCGGGGGGTTTGTTTATCATCCACATGTTTCGCTTCTGTTACATCTGGGTCAACGCCTGCCCTGCAGGAGTGGGGAGGTTTGTTTGGCTGTTGGATAGGAATACAAGCATCAGCAACAGTAAGTTTGTCTTGTTTGTTTCAGCAACAGTAAGTTTGTCTCGTTTGTTTCGGGGTATATCATTAGACGCATACATGCATCATTAAAACAGGTAGGCGATAAAATTACCGGTATACAATGTGAGGAGGAGCGGAGATTATACACGTCTAGATTATTATGATTATAAAAAAAACTAGTAGCCTATATAATTTTACAATGTGTGCAGTGTAAAAAAAAATGATGTGACGTTTGAGTGAGTTAAACATAAAACCAATACAGGCCTGTGTTGTGTTGCAGCTTCGATCTCATTGACCGAGTAGTCAAGTTCATTAAACCTGGGACAGACAGGTCACACGCTAACTCATCTTAGGGTAAGAAAATAGCGTCTTTCTTTAGTCATACTTTAGTCTTTCTTTTGTATTTCTTTTGTCTTTATTTAGTCTTTATTTAGTTTTTGATACTTGATGTTGTTTGATCGCTAGAAGAGCCGTTTGTATCTATAGGGTTTACACATTTTCTGCTAGATATTTAGTGGTAAAACTACTAGATATTTAGTGGTAAAACTGCTAGATATTTAGTGGTAAAACTGCTAGATGTTAAAACCTAACCCTAACATAAACGTGTGGTGAGTACTTGTGCATGTTCATGTGGAGACTCATAACAGCATGCCAACAGGTGTGTGTCGGCTCTTTAAACATCATACGATGTGTGGGATACATAGTAATATCTAACAAGATGTTTGGGGTCCCATGAAAACATCTAACAAAAGATGTGGGGGCTCCCATAATAATACACCTAAGTCTAAGTCACCTGATGGTGTTGGTACAAAAACAACAACCCACACACCAAATGGAACCTTTCGACTGACGCACGTATCTACAGCATGAGCTTTATGTCTGACCACAGGTTGAACGGTCAGCGTGACGGTGCCAGCACTTTATCTCTGACCACAGGTTGAATGGTCAGCGTGACGTGCCAGCACTTTATCTCTGACCACAGGTTGAATGGTCAGCGTGACGGTGCCAGCACTTTATCTCTGACCACAGGTTGAACGGTCAGCGTGACGGTGCCAGCACTTTATCTCTGACCACAGGTTGAATGGTCAGCATGACGGTGCCAGCACTTTATCTCTGACCACAGGTTGAATGGTCAGCATGACGGTGCCAGCACTTTATCTCTGACCACAGGTTGAATGGTCAGCATGACGGTGCCAGCACTTTATCTCTGACCACAGGTTGAACGGTCAGCGTGACGGTGCCAGCATGCACTCCTGTGAGCCGGACTGTAGCAGACAGCTGCACTGGGCGGACATCCTGGTCTTCTCAGCCGTGCTGGTCATCTCGGCTGGCATCGGACTCGTCTACGCCATCAGAGCCAGGAAAACCTCGGCAGAGGAGCTGTTTGTTGGTAGGTTGGCTTGTCATGTGATTTGTTGGTAGGTTGGCTTATGACGTCATTTGTTGGTAGGTTGGCTTGTCGCGTGCTTTGTTGGTAGGTTGGCTTGTCATGTGATTTGTTGGTAGGTTGGCTTATGACGTCATTTGTTGGTAGGTTGGCTTGTCGCGTGCTTTGTTGGTAGGTTGGCTTGTCGTGTGATTTGTTGGTAGGTTGGCTTATCGTGTTCTTTGTTGGTAGGTTGACTTGTGATGTGCTTTGTTGGTAGGTTGGCTTATGATGTCATTTGTTGGTAGGCTGGTATATCATGTGATTTGTTGGTAGGTTGGCATATAATGTGATTTGTTGGTAGGCTGGTATATCAGGTGATTTGTTGGTAGGCTGGTATATCCGGTGATTTGTTGGTAGGCGTTATATCAGGTGATTTGTTGGTAGGCTGGTATATCAGGTGATTTGTTGGTAGGCTGGTATATCAGGTGATTTGTTGGTAGGCTGGTATATCAGGTGATTTGTTGGTAGGCTGGTATATCAGGTGATTTGTTGGTAGGCTGGTATATCAGGTGATTTGTTGGTAGGCTGGTATATCAGGTGATTTGTTGGTAGGCTGGTATATCAGGTGATTTGTTGGTAGGCTGGTATATCAGGTGATTTGTTGGTAGGCTGGTATATCAGGTGATTTGTTGGTGATCTGATTTGGCAGATTTCACAGGTCCATCGAATGAAGTATCAGTTAATTGGACAGATTTAATACGTTCATTAGTTGATATTTCAGATGATTTTGAAGATTTCATTGATTCATTATTTGGTACATCACGTGATTAGGCTTTCGTCACCATACAATTATTATATGGTGAATTGAAACTTCCAGCGTGCTTAAAATTGTATTTAATGTTTATCCTTTAAAATTCTTGACGTCATCCTGTGCATGCGCAGGAGACCGGAAACTGCCCGTACTTCCGGTGATGTTCTCCCTGAGCGTCAGCTTCGTCTCGGCCGTGTCCATCCTAGGGGTGCCCTCAGAGATCTACACATCCGGCAGCGACTACTGGATGGTGGGCTTCGGCTACATCTGGGGGCTGGGGCTTGCTGGGGTACTGGTCCTTCCGGTCATCTACAGACTACAGCTGACCAGTGCTTATGAGGTCAGTTGGTGGGGTAATTTGTGGTGTAAGCTAATTAGATAATGGTGGTGTAAGTATGTGTAAGCAAGATTGATAATTGTTATGTAATCCGGTGAGGTAATGGTGGTGTAATAATACAACGAGTGGTGTAAGCTGGTGAGGTAATTGTAGTGTAATAATATGGTGAACTAATGATGATGTAATCTGGTGAACGAATGGTGGTGTAAATGATATGGTGAGGTAATTGTGGTATAAGCTGGTGAGATAATGGTGGATTGGTGTAAGCAAGTGGGGAAAAGTTTATGTAAGCAAGATAATTGCGGTGTAAGCATGTTTAAGCAAAATAGAAAATGGTGGTGTAAGCAAGTGTGTAATGTGGAGTAAGCTAATTATGTAATCCCGCAGTTTTCATTAAAGCCCTTACACCATACAACTGTTTGTCTAGCTTATATGTCCTGCCATATCGACCATATGAAATCCTGGATATGATGTCAGAGAATCAATAAATCAAATCTCTATCTGCCCCTTACCCCCACCCCACCCCTCCCAACAGTACCTAGAGCTGAGGTTCAACAGACCTGTCAGGCTAATGGCGTCCTTCACGTTTATCTTCATGATGGTTAGTACTTAATTAATCAGGGTCACGGGGTCAATATAGAATTAGTTAAACTTGCGGGTTCGGTACAAAAAAAAAGCATTTTAAAATATAAACAAATTATGACTAGGCATATAGTGGAATTCACAATAGACCAAGAAAACGAGACCCAAAAATACCGAGCGTAGAGAAACTGACAAAAAGACACGAAATAATGTTTAAAGAAATGGAGACATAACGTTGGACAGAGAGGCACGAGCGGATGTTTTAAATGAAACATGCTCAACTGGAGATTAAACAAGCAAGAAGCAGAAGAAAAAATAAGTAGGGGTGAAATGGGCGTGGTCACTAAAAACTAGTCATGCTTACAGGTTCAGTAAAAATTTGTTAGGGTTACGAAAATAGATCTAGATCGTTTTAAATTTGTTTTTCTAGCTAGTTACTTAGGATTTAATTGACAGTTATGCATCTCACTCTGCCTAAATTATAACTTGTATGTGCAAATTTGTTTTTCCTGTCACAAGATCTGTTACATGGCCATAGTTATCTACGCCCCAGCGCTAGCTCTGAGCTCAGGTAAGTTCTTTTATCTGTAGGCTAGCACTTCACTTACATTCAATAAACACACACAAGTTCTTTTATCTATAGTCTAACCCTTGACTTAACTTCAACAAACACACGCATACATACACAATTTCTTTTATCTGTAGGCTAGCACTTAACTTCAACACCCACACGCATACACAAGTTCTTTTATCTGTAGGCTAGCACTTTTATTACATTCAACAAACACACACTCACCCACACGCACACACAAGTTCTTTTATCTGTAGGCTAGCACTTAACTTACATCCAATAAACACACGCATTCACACAAACACACGCATACATACACAATTTCTTTTATCTGTAGGCTAGCACTTAACTTACATTCAATAAACACACACTCACCCACACGCACACACAAGTTCTTTTATCTGTAGGCTAGCACTTTTATTACATTCAACAAACACACGCATTCACACAAACACACGCATACATACACAATTTCTTTTATCTGTAGGCTAGCACTTAACTTAAATTCAACAAACACACACAAGTTCTTTTATCTGTAGGCTAGCACTTCACTTACATTCGACAAACACACGCATTCACACACAAAAACATAAACACACGCATACACATACGCAATTTATTTGATCTAAAGGCTAACACTTTAATTATAATCAACAAACACACGCATACATTCAATTTCTTTTATCTGCAGGCTAATACTTAACTTACGCTCAACACAAGAACAAACAACACATGAAAGGGGAGGGGCGCGCTCATATTTCCACCATGGGTGGAAGAAAAATGGTTGTTGAAAGTTCTAAAATAGGCCTACATTATAAACAGAGTTTCTTCCAGGAATCTCTTCGGGGGGGGGGGGGCTCAGCCCCCCCCCCCCCCCCCCCCCGAAAATTTTTTACCGCCCCACCCCCCGAACGAAATGAAATTTATATAATTTATATAGAAAATATATACTTTTAACAGTGTCCGCCCCCCCCCCCCGAAGAAAGTTTACCGCCCCCCCCGAAGATTTCAAGTGCCCCCCCCCCCCCGGAGAAAAAAGTCTGGAAGAAACACTGATTATAAAGTCGACGTTTCTAGGTTTAAGTAGAGACAATGTGAACTCATACCAACTAACAGGCTTCTATTCGCCAAGAATGTATGAAGTAGTCCATGTTTAGAGACGATATGTACACAAACAAACAAACATTGAAATCTATCTATTAAGTTATCAGCGTCTCCATAAGTTTGAAGTAGACCATGTTTAGGGAAAATATGTACACAAACCAACTAACAGGCTTCTATTGACGCCAAGAATGTATGAAGTAGACCACGCTTAGGGACAATATGTACACAAACCAACTAACAGGCTTCTATTGACGCCAAGAAAGTATAAAGTAGACCATGTTTTTCTTGCAGTGACCGGCCTGTCGACAGAGATTTCCATCCTTGCCGTGGGTCTGGTGTGTACGGCATACACAGCTCTGGTTGGTACAGCACAACTAATTAACACAGCTAATTATCACGATTAACTAGCACACTAACACCAGCAATTAACACATTTAACAGTTGTTTTTGTCTCAAACTAGTAGTTGTTTTTAAACTTCAATAGTTGCAGGTTATATGACGTAGATGGGTACACGGCACTGGGCGATGGTCAACTGCAATTTCCTTACAGGAATTGCGATTATTAACTCGTCATTTCTGGATGGATGTGTGTCCGCAGCTTTCAGTCGTATCTCCTCCTCAACGAAGCAATATCGAGGACTAGTTCCAAAAGCAAATATGTTAAGCAAGTTCCGAGGATGATTGTGGGCCAAAAACATTCCCGGAATTCCTTCCTGGATTTCCCGGAAAAGCCAAAAAACCTCGAAAAATGCCGTTTTTTGCCTATATCTCGACAACCAGATCACTTAGCGACTTGAAACATTTACCAATCGATTCCTGCCATAATTTAGAACAATATTGCCGAAGAAAGTTTTCAGAAATATCCTTTCGTTCGGTCACAAAAAATTAATTAAGGAAATTGCGCTCAAATTGTCACTAGACTTTTTATTAACTTGTTTCTATTTCGACTCTTTTTGATGGCATAGTTAAACGACGTAGAATTTCGATGTACTTAATTCTAAATAGTGTCCCCTGTATCATTTTGATTAAAAGAAATAACTTTTGTAATTAATATTGAATATTTTTTAATGTTACATTTTTGTATAAAATTCAAATTATTTAATGCGCCATTTATTGCTTTATTGTGGATTGTATGTCCACATTGTATATCAATGCTTGTAATGTAATGAAAACAGAACACCAGATCGAGGATTACTATACCCCTCCCATACATACACTTTAACCCCCCCCCCCCCCCTTTTCACACACACACTGCTTGTATGCCTACGTGGTATGATTCCCCTAAACTTCTCGTGATAAATCTGATTAAAGCTTAGAACATACTAAACATACACCTTAATGATTTAGTTGACCATACACACGTCCCTCCCACAGGGTGGCATCAAAGCTGTCATCTGGACAGACGTGTTCCAGACACTGGTCATCACCTCTGGACTTCTGGCACTCATCGTCCGCGGCACCGTCCAGGTGGGCGGGGTCTCGGCTGTTGTGGACAGGGTGGTCAATGGGAGCAGGGCTGCTACTTACCCGTAAGTCACTTACATGGACACTTACATGGTCACTCACATGGTCAATTACATGGACACTTACATGAACACTTACATTGGCATTTACATGGTCACTTACATGGACACTTACATGGTCACTTACATGGTCAATTACATGGTCACTTATAAATGATTTCTTATATTAAATGATCACTTACAACACATGAAATATCTTACACGAAGCCTACAACAAATGATACCTAAGTTTATGTGTTCGGGACAAGATCATTGCTTAAATAACTATTGCTAGCAGTCTTTCAATGATCTCTATTAACTTCTCCTTGCAGTCTCTCAATGATCTCTATTAACTTCTCCTTGCAGTCTCGCAATTATCACTCTCAACTTTTTGTTTCTCCCCAGAATGGACTTTGACCCCTTTATACGTCACACCTTCTGGACCCTAACCGTGGGGGGTGGGTTTGGGATGGTTGCCATCTACGCGGCCAACCAGGCAACCCTGCAGCGCTATCTGTGTGTGGAGACCCTCAACAAATCCAGGCTGTGAGTGGCCAGATGGCCCAGTGGTTTTTGTGGCCAGATGGCCCAGTGGTTTTTGTGGCCAGATGGCCCAGTGGTTATTTAATCTAGTTTGTGAGTGGCCAGATGGCCCAGTGGTTTTTGTGGCCAGATGGCCCAGTGGTTTTTGTGGCCAGATGGCCCAGTGGTTATTTAATCTAGTTTGTGAGTGGCCAGATGGCCCAGTGGTTTTTTAAATCTAGTTTGTGAGTGGCCAGATGGCCCAGTGGTTTTTAAAATCTAGATTGTGAGTGGCCACATGGCCAAGTAGTTTTTAAATCTAGATTGTGAGTGGCCAGATGGCCCAGTGGTTTTTAAATCTAGTTTGTGAGTGGCCACATGGCCAAGTAGTTTTTAAATCTAGATTGTGAGTGGCCAGATGGCCCAGTGGTTTTTAAATCTAGATTGTGAGTGGCCACATGGCCAAGTGGTTTTTAAATCTAGATTGTGAGTGGCCACATGGCCAAGTGGTTTTTAAATCTAGATTGTGAGTGGCCACATGGCCAAGTGGTTTTCAAAGCTAAGTTGTGAGTGGCTAAATGACTTAGTGGTTTAAATCTAGTGATGATTGTCTACCGTTGGAAAACTGACCATCAAAACTAGGACTCTAAATGTGTCCATTGAACGATGGTTGGGATGTTACAATAAATGATTTAAAGAAAGGTTTTCAAAATTGGCCACTGAACCAGAACCAAAGATCTCGTGTTTCAATGTTAATTAATTGCTTCAATATTTAAATCTAGCCAATCTATTCTATTACCTGCATTCCTTGAATGAAGTTGCTTGTTTTGTTTCTCTAGGTTGCTGCTCCAGTGAAATGTTTGTCTGTTTTGTTTCGTTAGGGTGCTGTTATAGTCCATCGATTGCTTGTTTTGTTTCGTTAGGGTGCAGCTTTAGTGTACTGATTTCTTGTTTTGTTTCGTTAGGGTGCTACTTTAGTGTACTGATTTCTTGTTTTGTTTCGTTAGGGTGCTGTTATAGTCCATTGATTGCTTGTTTTGTTTCGTTAGGGTGCTGTTATAGTCCATTGATTGCTTGTTTTGTTTCGTAAGGGTGCTACTCTAGTGTATTGATTGCTTGTTTTGTTTCGTTAGGGTGCTACTGTTGAATATCCCACTGTCCGAGTTTTTCCTGGCCCTGATGTGTCTGTGTGGGCTGGTCATGTTCGCCTACTACCACGGGAGGGACCCTCTACTGACCGGCAGGGTCAAGAAACGTGACCAGGTGACACCACAATCTTTAATCAATGGTTTTTTTTTTCTCGTTCTTAAACATTGCTAAACCGAAAAGTCTCGAGTTCGAATCCTCGGGCAGATGAGGCTCGTTAGCTGGGGATAGCCACTGTTCTAGGAGAGACAACTCCAAAATCAAACAACTGCTGCCTTGTAGTTTGTTCTTGGTTGGACAAGGCTATGGAAGTAAATCCAAAAAGAAAAGCAGGCTGAAATCGGAGTCAATGGCCTCAATGGCGCATAACCAGTTGACACGTATCCTTAATTGTGATGGAGGCGTGGTTGAGTCGGCAAAAAGCTCATGGTTGATAATTTCGAAAAAGTCTCGAGTTCAAATCTTCAGGAAGATAAAGCCTCGATCCCTTCCAACACTAAAAATTAAGAACGAAGAAGAAGAAGAAGAAACATGTTTGAGTAACTAGTCCTTGAAACTTTTGTTACGGGAACTTAAGTGTCATGAATTTTTGTTACAGTAATTTTTGTTACAGCAACTTTATTTACTGTAACTTGGGTGACTCCTGTTAGAAGAGTTTCAGCCCAAACGTTAAAAAAAAATGAATTAATCTGGTCCCCCCCCCCCCCCCCCCAGCTCCTGCCGCTGTTCGTGATGGATCTGTTGGGTGACCTGCCCGGCATGCCGGGACTCTTCATCGCTTGTGTCTTTAGTGCTGCACTCAGGTAGGTCAGGTCTGGGGGGGGGGGGGGTGTCAGGTGTCGGAGGTTGGGGGGGGTCAGGTGGTGGCGTTTGGGGTCAGGTTGTGGAGAGTGGGGGGTTATGTGTTGGATGGAGTTAGGTGTTGGGGCCAGTATTGGTGGTGGGGGGGGGGGGGAGTCCGGTGTGGGAAAAGGGTCATTTGTTTGTTCAGTTCTTCACTCAGCATTAAAGCTTGCAGTTGATATTTTAACAGAATAGACGAGTCTGATCGATATTTACTTGTACTTAGACAATTTTCTAATCGAATTATGAGGGTTTTATATTAGACCGACAGTTGTCCCAAAATCCAAGATCTTGTAGACCGCATTACACGCTCAATACATCAGATATCAAAGACAACATGTAAACACCTCTAACCGTTTAACTTCTACTCCTGCTACTTACAGCACCGTATCTTCAGGCGTCAATTCTCTGGCCACAGTTGCTGTTGAAGATTTCCTGAAGCCCCTTCTTATCAAACTTAATGGCGCTTTACCATCCACAAGAGTCATGTCCTTCATAGCTATTGGCACAGGTAGCAGTTTTACTCGTTTCTTCCTGGTAGTTTTAATTAATTTCTTCTTTGTTAATCTAATATATAAAGCTCAATTCTGTAACGCATATGTTTGTCGTTGGCATTTCTACGGATTTAAGTGTTAGATCAATTATCGTGCGCAGTTGTCTAAATTTATGAGTTAAAAAATTACTATTAAAAGTGTTGGGAAATCATTTTCATTTTTCAAATTATAGTAATAATTGTCGGCATGTTCATTAAACACAAGTTTTAAAAAAATATCATCTTTTACAAAAATTCTAATTATGTTTTTATTTAGTCCTATAGCGCTTACTTCCCTTTGATAAATTAGGCAAAACACAATTACTTCCCTTTATGAAATCATTGCATTAGTTGAAAAGCATTTACTTTTTAATTACTTTGTTTTGGTGTTGGGAAAAAAATAATTACATAATTAGCGGGGATTGATCAAGTGCAAATGTTTTAGGTATTTTACGGATAAGCTTGGAGTATTATAATTGTTCATTAAATTGAAACAGGCGCGTTCGTTTAAGTGAGTGCAAAAACTATGAATAAGTTGGGGTACTATAGTCGTTTATTAAGCTAAAACAGGCGATTCTGCCCCGGGCGTTTATGTTCGCGTTAGTGTTTTCTTTGTGTTTAGGTGGGTTTGCGTTAGTGGTTGCGTTTTGATTTGGTTCGTTTTTGTTCTTTCTTTTTTCGTTTTTGTTTGTGTTTTTTTTTGTTTGGGTTTGTATTTGTGTTTTTGGTTGGTTTTGCGTTTGGATTTGGTTTGTTTTCGTTTGCTTTTTCGTTGTTTTTTTTTTTGGTATTGGTGTTTGTGGTTGGGTTTGTTGTTAGGTTTTTGTTTTCGTTTGTTTTTTCTTTGTGTTTGTATTGGTGTTTGTGGTTGTGGTTGGGTTTGTTGTTAGGTTTTTGTTTTCGTTTGTATTTCTAATTGTGTTAGCGTTATGTTTGCGTTTTGTTGTTTTGGTTGGTTGTGGTTTGGGTGGGCAATGCCGGGTTTATGATGATTACTAAACACACAGGTAATGGTCTTTAACGGAAAGGTTTTTCACAGAAGCCAGAGCAGGGCCTGGCCGGGACGGCTAGTCTAATATATAAAGCTCAATTCTGTAACGCATATGTTTGTCGTTGGCATTTCTACGGATTTAAGTGTTAGATCAATTATCGTGCGCAGTTGTCTAAATTTATGAGTTAAAAACTTACTATTAAAAGTGTTTGGAAATCATTTTCATTTTTCAAATTATAGTAATAATTGTCGGCATGTTCATTAAACACAAGTTTTAAAAAAATATCATCTTTTACAAAAATTCTAATTATGTTTTTATTTAGTCCTATAGCGCTTACTTCCCTTTGATAAATTAGGCAAAACACAATTACTTCCCTTTATGAAAACATTGCATTAGTTGAAAAGCATTTACTTTTTAATTACTTTGTTTTGGTGTTGGGAAAAAAATAATTACATAATTAGCGGGGATTGATCAAGTGCAAATGTTTTAGGTATTTTACGGATAAGCTTGGAGTATTATAATTGTTCATTAAATTGAAACAGGCGCGTTCGTTTAAGTGAGTGCAAAAACTATGAATAAGTTGGGGTACTATAGTCGTTTATTAAGCTAAAACAGGCGATTCTGCCCCGGGCGTTTATGTTCGCGTTAGTGTTTTCTTTGTGTTTAGGTGGGTTTGCGTTAGTGGTTGCGTTTTGATTTGGTTCGTTTTTGTTCTTTCTTTTTTCGTTTTTGTTTGTGTTTTTTTTTTTGTTTGGGTTTGTATTTGTGTTTTTGGTTGGTTTTGCGTTTGGATTTGGTTTGTTTTCGTTTGCTTTTTCGTTGTTTTTTTTTTTTGGTATTGGTGTTTGTGGTTGGGTTTGTTGTTAGGTTTTTGTTTTCGTTTGTTTTTTCTTTGTGTTTGTATTGGTGTTTGTGGTTGGGTTTGTTGTTAGGTTTTTGTTTTCGTTTGTATTTCTAATTGTGTTAGCGTTATGTTTGCGTTTTGTTGTTTTGGTTGGTTGTGGTTTGGGTGGGCAATGCCGGGTTTATGATGATTACTAAACACACAGGTAATGGTCTTTAACAGAAAGGTTTTTCACAGAAGCCAGAGCAGGGCCTGGCCGGGACGGCTAGTTGTATTTTATATACACTTTTAAAAAAAAAATTCTTTTTTTTTTTGAAGATTTTAACATAAAAATGTTTACGAGTTAATTTTTTTTTAAAAATATTATAATTGAAATATTCAAGACAGAAACACGTTTGGACTTCGGGTTGAGGGAAGTGGGGACTGTATAGTAATAGTAGGCCCTATATCTAATATGATTACTCCCTCCCCTGAATAAATAACACAAGTCGCCCGGCGCTCCTTTTTAAGCCACTTCAAAACAAATGCACGTGCAAGCCCTCGATGTCTATAGTCTGCTTACACACATTTCTCCCCAGCCTTGACCTTTGGCCTACTGTCCATCTCACACATTTCTCCTCAGCCTTGAGCTTTAGTTTGCTGACCATCTCACACATTTCTCCCCAGCCTTGACCTTTGGCCTACTGTCCATCTCACACATTTCTCCTCAGCCTTGAGCTTTAGTTTGCTGACCATCTCACACATTTCTCCTCAACCTTGACCTTTGGCTTGCTAACCATCTCACACATTTCTTCCCAGCCTTGACCTTTAGTTTGCTGACCATCTCACACATTTCTCCCCAGCCTTGACCTTTGGCCTGCTGACCATCTCGCACATTTCTCCTCAGCCTTGACCTTTGCTGACCATCTCACACATTTCTCCCCAGCCTTGACCTTTAGTTTGCTGACCATCTCACACATTTCTCCCCAGCCTCGACCTTTAGTTTGCTGACCATCTCACACATTTCTCCCCAGCCTTGACCTTTGTCCTGCTGACCATCTCACACATTTCTCCCCAGCCTTGACCTTTAGCCTGCTGACCATCTCACACATTTCTCCCCAGCCTCGACCTTTAGTTTGCTGACCATCTCACACATTTCTCCCCAGCCTTGACCTTTAGTTTGCTGACCATCTCACACATTTCTTCCCAGCCTTGACCTTGACCATCTCACACATTTCTCCCCAGCCTTGACCTTTGGCTTGCTGACCATCTCACACATTTCTCCCCAGCCTTGACCTTTGGCTTGCTGACCATCTCACACATTTCTCCCCACCCTTGACCTTGACCATCTCACACATTTCTCCCCAGCCTTGACCTTTGGCCTGCTGACCATCGGGGCAGCCTACGTGACGGGGGCCCTAAGTCCGACCCTCATCACCGTAGTGGTCAGTGTGCTAGGCATGCTGGGGGGACCCCTGCTGGGCCTCATGCTGGTCGGCCTTGTCTGCCCCTGGGTCAACCCGTGGGTGAGTCTATCACAGACAATACATCGTTGGCTTTGGTCATTGCTTTAAGACTTTAAGGAAACCATAACGGTGTTCAGTTGAAATTTTGGCTCTGACACAGTTCTCCCCCCCCCCCCCCCCCCCCCACGTATTTCAGGGAGCGGGTGCCGCCCTCTTGTCGAGTCTGACCATCTGCATGTGGACGGCCATTGGTGCCATAACCAAACCTCGATCAGGGCCAGCTGATAATTCTACAACACACAACGTCTCAAGCAGGTAATTACTGGCATCACCTTAGAAACCAGTTTCTTCCAGGCATCTCTTCGGGGGGGGGGGGGGAATTTATATTGAACATATAATATACTTTTACCAGTGTCAGCGGATATAAATATAGGCCTAGTAAAATTTGCTAGTAATTAATGACAATCATGTGATTCGTGGTATGCATATTTAAAGCCACAATTTCCCAATACAAATGAGCAGGTTTGATGTGAACGACTGGTACGATTTGTCCTACCAACACTACGCCACACTTGCTGTGGTTGTGTCGCTCGTCATAGGCAGCGTTGTGTCATGGCTGACGTGCTGTAACAAGGGGAGAGAACTCCCAAGGGGAACTTACTACGATGTATTACGTCCCCTGAGATGTGGCGGGGTAAGTTTTTGTCATGGGCGGTCCTAACAGTGATACAATAATCATGGTCTGTATGTGCGTATGTATGTATGTTTGTGTGTGTGTGTGTGTGGGGGGGGGGGGGGTTAAGTTAAATGTACGTTGCTAGTGTAAACAAAATACAGTGGTGTAAATAGAATTTGTCTGGTCAAAAATTAGACTGGTTTTGAGCCAAATATATGAATGTTGATGTGTTCTGATGAGGAACTATCACTATCAATCAATCCATCTATGTATAAACTGTTATGTTAAGCTATCCTATCCTATATTATTTTTTTCGAAGTGTCTACTCGGAATAAGATTTTTCGGCAAAAGATAGTTCTGCGCATGCGCAGTGACCTATGGCTAGGGTTAGGGCTAGAATGAGGGTTAGGGGCTAGGGGTAGGATTAGGGATAGGGTTAGGGATAGGATTAGGGCTAGGGTTAGGGATAGGATTAGGGCTAGGGATAGGGTTAAGGATAGGATTAGGGTTGGTATTAGGGTTCTGCGGATGTAAACACACGCATGCGCAGTACCATCGAAAACATCGCCGCTAAGTTGTAATTTCTCTCCATTGCGCATGCGTATCGCATGCGTATCTTATTCCGACTAGAATCGGCCTATTTTTTTTTTACAGACAGGTTCTTTCAATCTGGCAGACACCAACACAAAAAGTCAGCCACAAGATGATCAGCATCAGCAGTTTAAAATGTCTACACTCGATAAACCAGTTTTATAAACTTGATAAACCAGTTTTATAAACTTGATAAGTCAGTTTTATAAACTTGATAAGTCAGTGTTATAAGCTTGACAAGTCAGTGTTATAAACTTGATAAATCAGTGTTATAAACTTGCTAAGTCAGTGTTATAAACTTGATGAATCTGTTTTATAAACTTGATAAATCAGTGTTATAATAATGACATTTTTATACTGTCAAGAGAAACTGCCCTGACTATTGAGCTCTAGACATACAAACTGTACAGCTCACACTAAATTGCCCCATGAACCATAGTAGCACAAATGTGTACATATTGTTTATATGACCTTGTTATGCTCTGAATGTATTGGATGTATATCACTACCCAGCTGATCAGTGTCAAGTAGTTGAAACAACCAGCTGGTGTGAGGGCAGGCTAGGAGGTTTTGATCCATCCCAGTCAGGCAATCATGTTTTTCATATTCACATGTAAAAGGATTAGAGTATTTAGAGGGTATTGTAAAAACATTGTTAACCCGAAGCACAGAAGGTTTACATGTGTTGAAGGTGGTATTTTAACTGTTCTAGTGAGTTTAATGTTCTAGGATGTCATGTTTATGATGTGATGTTCTAGGATGTCATGTTTATGATGTGATGTTCTAGGATGTTATGTTTATGATGTGATGTTCTAGGATGTTATGTTTATGATGTGATGTTCTAGGATGTTATGTTTATGATGTGATGTTCTAGGATGTTATGTTTATGATGTCATGTTCTAGGATGTTATGTTTATGATGTGATGTTCTAGGATGTCATGTTTATGATGTGATGTTCTAGGATGTCATGTTTATGATGTGATGTTCTAGGATGTTATGTTTATGATGTGATGTTCTAGGATGTCATGTTTATGATGTGATGTTCTAGGATGTCATGTTTATGATGTGATGTTCTAGGATGTTATGTTTATGATGTGATGTTCTAGGATGTTATGTTTATGATGTGATGTTCTAGGATGTCATGTTTATGATGTGATGTTCTAGGATGTTATGTGTAAAATTGTCATGTTCTAGGATGTGATCTTATGATGTTATGATGTGATTTTCTAGGATCTAGAATGTCATGTGTAAAATTGTCATATTCTAGGATGTCATGTTTATGATGTAAATCTTCTAGGATGTGATATCATAATGTGATGTTGTGATGTTCTAGGATGTCATGTGTAAAATCATTATGTTCCAGGATGTAATTTTTTATTATATGAATCTTCTATTAAGATCTGGTACAGTAGTTTATTAAATAGCTAATCTGAAACTGCTGACTGTAAAAATTAAAAAATATTGCAATTTTCTTTTAAGCTATTTTTCTTTTCTTCTTCTCTCTCTCTCTCTTTCTCTCTCTCCCCTCCCCCTCTATTCCTACAGGAATGTAAACACAGCTTAAATAATAAAAGCAAAATATTTTTTTATTGAGCTTATATAACAAATCAAATATAGCTGATCATGTTAGTACTTATTGAAAACATATCCAAATAAACTAGCAGTGATGACCAATACTGACTAATTGTACTGATTTGTTAAACTATTAAAAACATGAACACGTTGATAAATACAATAATTAAAACAAGTTTTAGACAATTTAACATGGAGTACAGAAGTTTTCAATTTGAAGGTAGTGGAGAGATACAAAATACTAGGTAATACAAAATGTTGTTCATGCGAGTGGTTTTAATAACTTAATACTTTCATTAGTCACTTTTTGCTTATGAAAAAGTCCAGCACATCCAGCTAAAAAGAACTTAAATTCATTTAAATGTTGCTTGCACCAGCAATACATCTAGTAAAACATGGCTATATGCTAGAAACATTAAAAAGTAAACAATGACCTTTTTTAAAGTTTAAGAAGAAGGTAGTTTGAAAAGTTTGAATCAAAGTATACCAGGGAGTAAACAAAATGCTGACCACATATCCCCTTGATTTGCAGGCATGAAAAAAAAATCTACACAGTAAATTTCATGGTTACTAGTGAAGTGAATAAAACTAAAACATTCTTATGGTCAATCTTTGACAAGATTTTAATACATGTTAATCTTTGATAAGATATACAGGTTAATCTTTGACAAGACTGACCAAAACTTAAGCTCAATCTTTGACAAGACTGACCAAAACTTAAGCTCAATCTTTGACAAGACTGACCAAGACTTAAGCACAATCTTTGACAAGACTGACTAAGACTTAAGCACTCTCTTTGACAAGACTGACTAAGACTTAAGCACTCTCTTTGACAAGACTGACTAAGACATGAAAATTTGATCATCCACAAAGTGCCAAGGCCTGTCCAAACATTTAAAACTGTATCAGAAATAATTTTCTTAAGTGAACGTTTCTCTGGACATCACACTTTATAATACAATAATTATCCTAAAAATAATTGGTAAAAAAAATGATAAATACTTGGATGAAATCCTCTTTTTAAAGTTTAATAAATGAATAAAAGTGTTATTAAGCTCACAGATAAGAACAATTACAAGTATTTTTCCAGTGATCAAGCATTGTTAGGAATAGAAATAATTCAGTCAATACAGATACCAACTAGTGGACAGTCTGAATAATCATTCAGCCGAGTCAATGGACATGCAGGTGTCCAAGATAGTTTGTAGTAGTAGTCAGGTAAAAAAACATCCTAGCAGAGAGTAGTCAATGAGTTTAGTTTTGCCGGAGATAAAGTTTATAGAGAAAGGTCTAGTGTGCTAAACATTTAGGTACTTTCAGGTATAAGTTTCAGGTATATTTGAGTGTAGAATAAAAAAATTCTGTTTTAACATAAAGAGATTTGTGTTGGTTATTTGACTTGAGCAGTCAAGACAGGCCAAGGAGCAAGTTTTTAGGCAAGAGGTTCTCACTGTCAAAATTGTGTCCCCTTTTTTTTTTTTTAGTTTTTAACCTGACTATTGTGTGCTGACAAATACCTTGGCCAATTTTTCTCTTGATTTGTGAGCTCACTTACTGCAGCCATTATTAGATGTAATAACCATAACATAAAAAAAATGTCTAGCAATTATTTGAATAGCTTCTACAGTCAATAAGCTAAAATCACATGACTTATACATGCAAACCATGATTGTGTGCTCTTTTAAATCAATTATTGTATTCTAAATTTATACTATTCAATAATATGCAAAAGAATATGAAAATTGAGAACATTGTTCAAGAACAGTTTGTAAACAAAACAAATTTTAAAATGAATTAATTGTAAGTTGTAAAACAAAAATATCACACATATCAAATAAACAGATATAATGTAATTGGTTTTAAAACAAGAAACATTGAACAGCTGAAATTCAAAAACCTTTGGTCAGAGTTACATGAATGAGGTTGATAAAATTAAACCCAGCTAGGCTTTGTTTATAGGCATACAACAGCAGTGGCTATCTTTTTATAAAATGTTCACAGGTTAAATACTTCATCAGAAGAAAAAAAAAACACCAGATACACAGTGATTAAAGAAAAGTTTTGAGATTATTGCCTTCATACGCTGGCTTTAATACATTCTTAATTAATTGGGTTAATTTATGGGTCAAGTCTCACATACTGAAAACTAACCAAAAAAATAAAACAGGTAATAAACACAGAAGAACAACATAAGTTCACATTACAATAAGATATTTCAAAGGTTTTTTAAAATTCTAAAACATCCTACTTTGTGGCAAGAAACAAAATCAATACTGAAAGACTGGGCAAAGAATATCAACACAACTCCTGATGTATCTTCAACAGCATTAGGAAAAGGTACCTCATAAACTTTAAACACAACACATTAGGAAAAAGTACCTCATGAACTTTAAACACAACACATTAGGAATAAGTACCTCATAAGTTTTGTGTAAACACACCACACAAGTAACTCTCATAGTTCAATGCAACATAACAAACCTGGATTCTAAAACAATAAAGTTTTAAAATAACACAACTCTAAAGGACTTTGAACTCAACTACTATAAAGGACGTATAACAATATACAAAGTAAACGCTAGAGTACGGTTGGGATAGAGGTCTGACACTGGACCTTCTGGATGGAGGTAAGCACCAAAGTTTTCGTACGGAACTATATCGTCCAGGTTATGTCTCTGATTTCTATTATCAAAAATACAGGTTTGCCTTCGACAACACTCAAAATAATAGCATCCAGGGAGTGATGGACTGTTGACTTGCACAAGAACATTGACCTCCACCTGCATTGGTCAAATATTTTAATATCATTTGTTAGGCTCCAAAATTAGTATGGACAAAGAATAATGAAACATCTATTAAAAAATTGTGAAGTGTTTAAGCTTAAGATATTTTTTCAAAATAACAACTATGTAGATGCAATTATTCTTAATACATTTACAATAAGATTTAAATAAAGAATATCAAAATGTAAACATAACTATATATGATACTCAGTTTAAAATGTCATTTTTTTTAAAAATGACAGTACTGTGCCATTTTATATCATTAAGTGTATAATCAAGTGAAAAATAGAAAATACCTTTAAATAAAGTGTTATGGTATATGCTTCAAGTTACCCACACAAAATATCAACAAGAAAAAAAAAATGTGTAGGAGGGACATTAGAAGAAAAAGCTCCAACCTTTAACGGAAGTTCCTGCTGAGTGCGAGACATCAAGGAGAGCCTGGCAGTGTGGATGTAGGTCTCCTCCACCAGCTTGCTGCCATCCTGCTCCAGACCTATGAGAACAGCTGGGTGGAAGCGAACACCTTTGGGGCAGAGCTCAACCTGCACAGAGACACACACAAAGGTCAAGGTAAGAAAATTTACAGGTGTCTTTGTTGTGCAATGGGGGGGGGGGGATGTTGTAGCTCAACCTGCACAGAGACACACACAAAGGTCAAGGTAAGAAAATTTACATTTGTTTTTGTTGTGCAATGGCCTGGGAGGGTGGGGATGCTGTAGCTCAACCTAGAGAAAGGTACATGTCAACATAATAAAAGTAACACAATATTTTTCTTGTGTTGTCTCAGTGTTGCTAAAACAAATCCAATAAAAAAATAAGGAGTGGTAAAATAAAATGTCTGCAGCACCCCAACTGTAAATAATAAACTAATCATGTACTAACCTCCCAGTCCAGTGTGTTCCCACTGTCTTGTCTGTCCCCAGACTGAGGGGTGGAGAAGAAAAAAGTCTGGGCCGCGTACTGTGGGAAGGCTAGGAAGTTGGACACTGTCAGCTTGGTGCACCAGTAATCACTGAAGTAGACCCGCGGCATGTGCAGCTTCCTTCTCATCTCATCCCCAGCTGACAGCTTCAGCTTGTAATGCTTGGAGGGCCTGGTACACAGGCACTGGCAGGGCAGGAAAGTTTTGTTGTGAACACAGGACTCAGGCTGGGAACTTGAGCAATCCATGAATGTGTTGCAGCTGTCAGATGGGACGATGTCAGTGGGGGACAAATCTTGAAGCTGGTTTGGGGCAACCAGAAGCAAGTAGGGATCTAGGTCAGGTGGAGTATTGGGGAAGCACATCAATGACCGATATGTTTTAACGAAGTCTTGGACATCAGGACATTCTCTCAACCAGGCAATTTCATCTTCATTCATCATCGGCCAACGTATATGACATATAAGTCTCCTGAAACCATCTTTGATTTCCTCTGCTGTTGGATGCCGTAAATCTATAAAATCCTTCAACCACATCATAACACTGAAGAAGATTAGGGCCTCATAATGGATAACAAGCTTTGAGCTGGCTATCAACTTTTCAATAGTTTCCAGACTAGCATTTATAAAATCTGGCATTCCGATAACTTTGTCAAAATTGCTGTGTATGTAGCTGAGTATTAGGTGTTCAAGCTCTGAGTCGTTGCGCATGTTTGATATGAGCCACCACTGTAAAACACATGAAATAGCCACCGGGGCATCGAGGTGCTTCTGCATGTATGTCCGACACAAGGGTATCATTTCTCTCACATTGTATTTGTCAGCTAGGGTGAGCAGGGGACCCACTGTACTGTGTGAAAGATATAACTGACCACTGTAAATATACTGAATAAACCGGCTAAAAACAGACTCACATAGAGGCTCCTCAACAAGAATAACCAGTTGTTTACTGGCTTCTGACCACTTCTGGTTGGTCAGCATGGTCTTAAAAACATCACTGCATGAGCAGAGTATTAATTTGTGAGCATCGAAGGTGAACTTGCCAACTTTGAGCTGCACATCAAACATTTCTCTTGTCATAAGAAGATTCAGCATTCTGGCAGAAAGTTCAGTGCAGTTGCTGATCAATACCTCGCCAGCATTGTTTGTTGACTCCATTTTTTTCTTCCTTGAAGCATCAGTATGTTATCTCATTTGGGACACATTTTTCAATGAGTGAAATTTCTAAAGATAATAAAAACATTAAGTTACATTATTGAACGGTTTGTTTTTTCAAAACTATTGTTTTATACTTATAAAGCCTTGTCTTTTGTCACTTAATTTATTTTTTTCCCATTGTTCATGAAAGAATTAAGTTTGTTAATTTTTTAATCGTTTGTGAAGTGATTAATGGCATATCTGCAAAAAAAATATTTAAAAATGACTTGTCCCTTAGATTTTTGCTAAGAAAAAAAACAACTTGGGAAAAGTCTGATGGAAACTGTGAATTAGTTCATTAAAAAGGACATCCTATTTCACCTGATATTTGTTCTATGCGAATTTTAAATGGTAATTGACAGTTGAATAGCAATGTGAACTACTAACTAATCTGATGCATAATTTATTTAAAAATTACTAAATCTATTGATTAGACTAGTAGGCCTATAGATTTAATTAGAGTGCATAATGATAATTGATCAGTTTATCTAAGACCAACGTAGCAGATTAGATATTGATATGGGCCTAAAAGCTAAACTTAAACCATAGACCTAATAATTTTTTAATGAAAATATTAAATATAACACCATAACAATAAATGGCACTGTTCTCTTTTCTATACTATACCTCACTCCCCACTCACAATAAAAGCTTTTATTTTCATTAGATAAGATATTATTCCCAGTCGTATTTAGTATTTTTACTATTAACTATTTAGCATGAAATGACAGCCGACTGGGAATAGCCCCAATGCCCAATACAACTAAACTGGGCCAATACAGTAATACGGCTATTCCCAAACCCCAATTCTCATTTTACCCCCCACCCAAAACATATGGCAGTGTTCAAGTGCATTCGTTATGATTATTTATTATTTATATTATTATACTAGATCTAAGTGTTGCTTGCATACATACGCATTAACTACGGTGGTACTAGAGATCTAGATCTAGACTCTTTTAGTTTAGAATCTAGATGTGTCACAAGTTCAGTGTTGCGTAGGTCAGCTACCTTATATAAAACTAGACCTACTACTATTTTACAAGATAAATAAAACATAGCAATACATTTACATAGCCCCTTAACTCCGTGAAATAAACTGAAAACATCGAGTTTAATGTACTAAAAATTACAAAAATAGAAATGCCTTGGAAAGGGGAGGGGGACATAAACTACATAAGAGCGTACAAGACTAAAAAATGGAAACATTAGCCTACTTAGACGTTTTCAAAAAATCAACATGTACTCAACTTTCAAATAGGACAAAGCAGTAAAAAATTTCAAATTATTAAAATTAGCTTATCAGTAGGCCTAATTTAATGTTTGAATCTATTTTTATTTACATCATAAAAGATAAATCCGTTCCGGTTATTATTTTGTTATTGTCAAAGTACAAACTAAACATAAGCAATGTTTTTACAGAATGCATTTGTTTGCTGGCCACAATCACTTCATTTTGAAATTGTCTTGTTTATTGAATTAGAAAACTTAAGCCCAATAATTAAATACATTTCCCTACGACTGAATAATGAAATAGGGATAAAAAATGGCTGATACTGATGACGTAGACTATAATTCAGATGAATATCCAGGGGTAAGGAAGATTGGTAATCTATCGTTTTGGGTACGTAAAATCGCCCGCGGCTATAATAAATGTACGAAAATGTTACCTCATTGTCAAGGCTTTAAATGAAGTATATTGTCATATGTTTGTGTCAAATATTATAGATAAATGAATAATAAACCTAAATCAATGGCTAAATATATCAATATAGGCCAGAAATTAACTTTAAACAGCAGTGTCTAAGAGCAAGATTTGCTATATAAACAGCAGCCATTTGTAAAATAGAGTGGCTTCCCCCTGAATCTGCGCTATAAGCTTATAAATATAAAACTTAAACAAGATGGCTGCTATAGTAAATGAGCATGGTTGCATCTGTGGGAAACATCGCTAGTCTTCATTTATTACGAAAAAGTTTTTAATTCAATTGTTTAAAAACAGGTACATAAATGAAACAAGGAAACATGTTTGTATTTTAAAAAACATAAATCCTCCTCAAAATGTATAATAATTATTAAAATTTAAGGAGTCACCTGTTTTTCACATTACAAGTCGCGGGCGATTTTACGTACCCAAAACGATAGATTACCGGAAGATTCGATACTACTACTACTACTAGTACTAGGCTAGTAGTACTAGCAGACTGCTAGAGATCTAGTTGAGTAGCAGTGACTAGTGACTCAGTAGCCTGAATCAGTGTGCTGCAGTAGCAGTAGACTAGTATCCAGAATGCAGATTATCACTATAGTATAAAGTATAGCACTAGACTTAACTTGACCAATTAATTGTAATTAACTTATTTTACTAAGTTTAGTTAGGCTACTAACTAACTAGGCCTAATCTATTAAATTATTAAATCTAATGATGCAGCTGGCACTACACTGTAACTACACTTACACTACACTTACAGTCTCAGTCAGGACACACACTCTGGGGTGTGGGGAAATTGCGAGACGCGAAAAGCGAAATGGCGAGGCGGGAAAATGCGAGAAGATAATGTGAGACATACCTGCGGAATCAAGGGTAAAAAGCGAGACACCTTTTGCGAAAAAAAGTTCTTTTCATGCTTTTTTCATCTTTATTTAAATTTTTTGTTTGTTTTAAAATATGATGTTTGTATGTTGTTATTTTTTATCTAGATTTTATTATATAGATAGATAGATACTAAGAAGATAGATAGATCTAGATCTATCTATTAAAAAATCTTAACATCGTTGCTGTGCTACTGTCATCGCCCGCTCTCGTTAGCGAGAGGAAAATCCCGTCTCAGTCGGCATTAATTTTAAAAATCTAGCCGCTCATGTTTATACAAACGTGAGCTGTGTCATTGTGAATTGGCATAATCTTGTCAGCAGGAGAGATATTCTGCAACATGTATCCATGGATTGTTGTACTTGCAAAAAGTGTAAAAGTATAAACAATTATAAAAAGTGTAATTTATTTTTTATTAAGTAATTTTAATTACAAACAAAATTTACAAACAAAATCTTCTGAAACATTCCTAGCACTGCTCAAACACACGTCACACCATCTTTCACACATAGTACATCCAACCCAGTTCATTAGACTCCCATTTATACTGTGCTAACACAGAACACGAATATGAACAGAATGGAAAAAAATTTCCGTTAGTAGATAATCTGAATAAAGTCCGCTATCGACAAAACTATCATTTAATAGCTAAAAGGGGTCATCCATAAATGACGTCACGCTTTTTTGACGATTTTTACCCCCCCCCCCCCTCCCCTCTGTCACACATTTTCACAAAAATCCAGACCCCCCCCCCCCCCCACTAAAATGACGTCACACCTCAGCCTACAACCCCCTTCAAAATTGCAGTTGAATTTTTTTTTTTAAAAAACATCTATATTTTCCCAAAATCTTGTCTAATTTCTGTAAAATAGAGTATTTTAATCAATTCCTATTACAATTTATTAAAACAGTTTTCTAAAACGCAAAATAACGTCTAAAATTCTTTTTCTAACATTGCTTTTTTATAGTGTGAAGTCACAACATCTAACCCCCCCCCCCCCCCCCCCCCCCTCATAACACATTACTATGCAACAATAGAAAATATGTTTGCGGCGGCAGCGGATTCGGGCACGGTGATCTTCAAAGACGGTAAATCAGGCGGCTTCGGCGTTCCACACAAAAGACAAAAATTGATCTATCGTCGGCGGTATTTCCGTTTGTTTCGAACAAGGTGGTATTTTAAGTCGACACAAAAGATGGGGGGGGGGGGGGGGGGGGGAGTTGACAAATCATCAGTATGTCTAGCGACGGAAAAAACGTCTTTGAAGTCTGGACCAAATACAACGGAAAATCGGGTGCGGTAAATTTTTCGCAGAAATCTTCGCATTTCAACACCACCCAGCGTAAGTATCGGGTTGTGGTAAAATGCGAGACAAAAAAGTCACGTGACCGACCGTTTTCGCGCCCTTCTCTCATTTTCCCGCCTCGCCATTCCGCTTTTCGCGTCTCGCAATTTCCCCACAAGACTTCTAGATCTAGTTCTAATAATAGACAGACCAATGTGACATAACGTTCTTGCTAGACTATAAAGTATAGACTTAGACTCTAGAGACTAGCTACTAGACTAGGTAGACATTAGTTTGTTGTTTTTTTCTGGGGGAATTTTTATACTGGTGTCCGATAATGGAATCTTCTTTTAAAAAAGGGTGTTAGATTACTGGTAGTTAACTAAATACACGCATGGCTGGCAAATGTTAATTTGCTAACCCTGTCCCCAACCCTGGTCCTACCATAACCCTAATTTCTTAATATAAAATGAGTCAAGATTACAATACTACTAACAACCCAACACAATTATTTTCTGGAAGAGTCTATTATCGGACATCGGTATCTAAAATCATTCAATTTTTTAATTTAAATATTCAGTAATCTATCGTTTTAGTTACGAGACTAGTAATGTGAAAAAAGGTGACTCATTAAATTTTAGTAGGCCTAATTATTTCACATTTTTATGAGGATTTATGTTTTGAAAGTTACCAAAATGTCTCAAAGTTTCACCACAATATACCTGTTTTTAAACAATGATATTAAAACTTTTCAGTAAAAAATAAGGACTAGCGATGTTTTCATCAGATGCAAGCAAGCTCATTTACTTTAGCAGCCATAGTTTAAGTTTTTTTTAAATAAAATAGTTGGAGATTCAGTTGAGACCACTCTAACTTACAGATGGCCGCTGTTTATACAGCAAATCTTACTCGCAAACACTGCTGTTTAAAGCTAACTTCTGCAAACACTGCTGTTTAAAGCTAACTTCTGGCCTATATTGATATGTAATATTTAACCATTGATTTTGATTTATCATTATTATCATGTATGTTTAATAAAACTAAATAAACTGGGAGTGATCTCCCTAAACTTTCTCGAATATTCTAATATAACACTATGTGGGATGGCAACTCGGAATATAGAATAAAATCTAGTAGAAAAAAGAATTGCACACCAAGCGAGCGCCAAAACAAAATGTGCATAATAGTGCGCAATATTATTAGTACTTTATAAATTTACAAGCGTTTTTTGAGAAATCGGAAATAGCGAAAATTAGTACTTCCGGTCAACGGAAATTACTCAAAATTTGACAGAAGGTAGAGAATTAGATCTTTTACTTACATGTGAAATTTCATTTATCTATCTGAAATAATAACAAAGTTATAGGCTTTTGAAAAATTCAAAGTAGAAAAAGTACCACTTCCGGTTATCGGAAATCACTCAAAAGTTGATACGGATCTACGATTTTGATAAAATACTTATATATGAAATTTCATCAACCTAGCTGTAACGGTACTCAAGTTATCGTGTTTACACACACACACACACACACACACACACAGACATACGGACAAGATTGCAAAATTATGTTTTTCCGTATCAGTGAGGTGTAAAATGTCGAGATTTGTAAAAATCTCGTTGTTGTTTTTTTTTTTTGCACGATTACAAGACTTTCTCTATACTTCATATATACCAGAAAGTAAAAAAGTCATCACTCATTAGTTCTTTTAAATGAATTTTCAAAGTTATACATTATTTTTATAGGCCTACTATAACTCAATTAGGCTGTAAAGGGCCCTATTATACTATTTTAAATTATTATAAGGTAATTAAACACCAAATTGAAGGCGCAAACTAATTTGGAGACTGACATTCAATATATGGCTGACTAAAATGAAGAAAACCAAATTCATTACCATCTGGCAATCCAACCACTAAATTTTATCTGACAATTTACTTTTAATCAACCATAACAAACAAAAAAATGCTCTTTTTGAATGAGTTGGACCAGCAGCAATTTTTATGTTGTCTCCCCTTAAAATAACTGAGATCAGCAAAGTTTTCATTCATCCCAGTTAGGATTTCCTTTTTTTTTTGGCCAAAAACCACTCAAAATCAAAATAAAGCCTGTTATAGCTCTCAACAATGAAATACACATAGTAAAAATATAATTTGCAAGAACTAAATGTTTTTAGTTTGTGGAGTACAAAAATAAAAACATGAAAAAAATGATTAAGATGGTAACAATGATTTTGTTTTGGCGAATAATATATTTATAAAAATTATTTATATACTTCTAAGTTATGTATTATGGCTTATTTGTGACTAGAATACCACTACCTCAATACTGAACAGCATGTTTAAGTTTAATGAGGTACCTTCTACACAAGAAAAACTTGAAGATTAACACCTAAGAAAATAACAAATTTTCTTGACATAGAGTGGAATCATCCATGTTTTTTGTCTTGCTTTAAAATAATAATAAGATGCCATGAGACCAGCAGTTATCATTCATCCCAGTGTGCATGTTTGACTTTTTTCTAAAAAATAAATTATGCAAACCAACTTATTAACAGTAATATGCTCCTCATTGCAAGTATTACATTTTATTTAGTCTCCTTCATACAATGAAGACCGAGATGATGAAAATGTAGATGAAGATGAGGATGATGATGATGAAGAAGAAGAGGACCCAGAAACAGTTCAAGCCGAATGCTTGGCATTGTTTTCACAGCGTGACTTCATCATGGAATCTAATATCTTGAATGTTCTCAAAAGGTGCGCATTAAAATTCCTTTTTTTTTTCTCATGTCACCCAATCTCTGTATGTATTTATTTACTCTGAGTGTCTGACAGTGTCATGTGTATTCCTACTCTGTTATTTTGTTCTGGTACTCAGGTATCTTCAGGCAGGTGGAGCACCATCAACTGTTGTAGAGTTGCTGTCTGTAAACTTTACTTCTATTGCTGGCATGGTCAATGTTATGGCTAACTGGCTTATACATATTGGTAAGATGGCTGGAATACCCTAGAGATATACTGTAACTTTATCTTTTAAAATATTTTTGTATTTAAACTTTTATTCTCACTATACTTAGATGGATTTAAATAATTAGCCATTTCATGAAGCCAACATCACTGAATTGTTATTAGCTTGTTATATTTATTTTTATATTCTTGGTAGTTGGTTAGTTCAAAATGTTATTGAAATTTTTTTTACACATATTTAACCATAGTTTTAAAAATGGTTTACTTTCTTGTGGAAAACTTTGATTTAACTGTGAAAGAACACATTGGTCTTCACAGTATATGTTTAGTGATGTCATTCTCTCCTTGCCAGGGGTCTCACAAAGGGAAGTCACTATGTTGGTAGAAAATCACATGACTGAGATGGTCATGAAACATTTTGATCCTAAGAAGGCAGACTCTATCTTTAACACAGATGGCAATGTAAGTTTCTAGCAGATTTTTAAAAAATTAATATCTTGTATAGTTTTTATGTATATTTTTACTATTATTTCACAGGGTTCGTGCGGCCTCCTGAAATTCCAGGAGGTCCTGGAAAACTCCTGGAATCTTAAAAAACGTAAAAATCTCCTGGAATTGTCCTGGAATTTGAAAAAATATAAAAACCTCCTGGAATTCTCCTGAAATTTTAAAAATTCTTCTGAAATCTCATGAAATTTTATTAACCCGCGGCGCAAAACCCGACTGAAATTATTTGATTTTGTTCCGCCAATAATCGAATAGTAGTTTTTAAATGGGACGAAAATAAAAATAAACGCATCGGCCGTCGTCCGACTGAATCGCACTGCCGTGATCTACACATCGTGTGGCACAGCCTAGTGTGTGGTCACGTGACGCTAGGCGATTGACCCGATTGGATGATACTATAAACAATTTCTAAAGATAGATAGGCCTACATGTGTTCCCGTGTTTGACTTGTCGGCTATTGGATTTTTAAAGTAGACAGGCATGTTTCATAACTTTGTCAAACTATTGAAACAGCAAAAAAAAAGTTGTAGTAGCATTTACGGTTCAGGACTAATCGTCAAAATTAATCTTCTTTCGAAAACCCGGATAGCTGCGACCCGATCAAACAATGCCGATTCGCGTAATGTTTCATTATTTTATTTTATACATTAATTTTTCGTAAAAATGGCTATAGAAAATAAATTAAATGTTTCCAGTTACTCTTTTTTTCGGTTGACTTAAAACTGTTAATACGCTTAATACTAGCTTGCCAAATCGACCAAAATGGGCTGGGGTGGGTGGGGGAAGACACTGACCATCCTACACGGTATGTAACGCCCAACGTAACATCCATAGCTTCAACCCGCCCCCACTACGCCGTGACGCGACAACCCTACGATCGTTGCCTTTGATGTTGTGTAACACTCGTCGGTGGTTTCATACCCCACCTCCCTTCCCCCTTCACTTTGTGGAGTCGATGTTACTAATCCTTGGGCATAGATCAAGAAATCTTGCCAGACATTTGTCTCTAGAATTACATAATATTCGTCTGACATGTTCATCGGGTTGGCCGACTAGCCTAGCATCATTGGATTTGGCATCCAAAAATCAATAAAATATCACGAAATGATATTAATTGGTGAAGTCTGCTTGCATTTATACCTCTTTTATAGTGAAAAACTCTTTAAAATTTGGTCCATACCCTCCCAGTATTTTTCCTCTTTCAGGGTCTATCCCAGTTGTCTGAAAAATCTGCTATTTTTTTAATGACAAAAAAATCATAACTTTTTTGTTTATGGTCAGATTATGAAAATTTAAACTAGTCTGTAGTCAGATTGATAGCCTCTATCCTAATATGTAACTAATATATTGTTTTACTTTTACTGAAATTAAATTTTTGCATTGGCTTAGTAGCTAATTAAATGTATTATTAAGTACTAATAACTTAATAAGTACGCTTTTTTTTTTAATGTACAAATTGGGTCTCTATTTTGTTTATAAAATCTCCTGGAATTTTTTTTAAACTCCTGGAAAAGTCCTGGAAAACTCCTGGAATTTTATTTGAACTTTTGAGCATGAACCCTGATTTCAATTAAAATTGCTTGTGAATAAATTAGAGAATTTTGAAATTTTTTTATTGTTAGATGCCAGAGTGGCTGCCAGAAATGATACAACAGCCAACATGGCGCTCAGTGTTTTACAGACTGGCCGAGCAGTATCCAGATTGTTTGTTTCTTAATTTCACCATCAAGGTTTCACTTTATTCTATGAAACTTTATAGTGTTTTTTTTATACATTAATAAAAATTGTATTATTAAAAAGCGAACTTATGCTACTAAAATTGTAATTTAAAAAAAAAAGTTAAATCTTGTGCTGTGGAAATTAGTGGTCATCTTGAGAGGTTCATTATCTGGCCATGTTTTACAGATGATATCAGATGCTGGTTTTCAAGGGGAGATCACCTCTGTGTCAACAGCTTGTCATCAAATTGAAGTGTTTACCAGAGTGTTGAAGACATCAATAGCAACATTTCTAGAAGGGGGAGAGGAGGCACTGGAGAAACACCTACCAGAATTCACAGTTTGTTCTGCTAGCCACACTTTTTCTTTGTTAACAAATATCAGCCAAATAAAATTTCTACATTGTAAATTGAAAAAAATAAATAGTTATTTATAATTTTGACTTATATTTGTTTTATTTAACAGTTAACATCGTAAACTTCTGCAAGCATTTATTTACCGCTGATGAAGACATCTTTGTTATATCTTTCCCTAAATCAAACAAGACATCTAAAAGAATTATCTACATATATTTTTATTACAGTGATTGTTCTTCTTTATTCATATTGTTAAAGATTTAGTTTTATAAACATTTTTTAGCAATTTCATGAGTATGTTTGTGTTTATTAATGTTAAGAATTAAAATTTGTAGAAGATGGTGTGTCATGGTGAGCACACATACCTCTACAGTCAACTACTGATGCATTTGGCAGCAGAGGAAGCTCAGGGGGGTCCAAACATGAGAAGGTTATGTCAGGAATTACAGAAGGCAGCTGTCAACAAGTTGGTTCAGATACTTTTATCTACCCGCTTTATTAATTAGCTTTATTAATTAACTAACCAGATAAGTAATTTTATATATTTATTTATGTATATGGCTATGCTTATACTCTAACAACATGTTTAAACATATTTTTGGTATTCTATGAATAATTTTATTGCAATTTTTCCTAATCTTTACTTTTTCTGCATGATTATATCACGGTTATCAATGTGTTGAATTTAGTAATAATAATATTTTTATTGTTTTAAAACTCTGAAATTTGAAAATTCATATTTTTTAGAAACCTAGAGGTCACACCTATAACAGTGGCCCTGACACATGCAAACGATTACCCTCGGGCGTGCCAGGCACTGTCCTCCATGTTGTCACGACAAGCACTCAACCCAGCTGATGTCACTGTGGTAAGTTGGTGAACTTTGAACTCTAAGGTTGCACTGCTCTGTTTCCAGATAAAGTTTTACTGCTCTCTATTTCAGGATAAGTTTCTTTGCTTCAAACACCCATAACCGCCTTGTTTTCTTTCAGCTGTACAAAATGTACTCTGAAGGAGAAGGACCACCTGTTGCACTCATCAGAGTCCCAGAATTCTTAGGTAACTTTTTAGCTCAACAATAGATTTTTTTACTTTTTATTTTAATTTCTTGACTTTTAGTTAATTTTTGTTTTGAGTTTTAGAAAATAATTTTTTTCTATTATTTAGTAACATTTTTAACTAGTTGACTAATGGTAAACTTTTTGTTTTCCCTTTGACCCAGACCTTCTAGTGGATGCCTTGTACAACCCTACCAGTAAAATCAGTCCAGAACACAAATCAAAATACATTTTCCTCCTAGCCTATTCAGTCAGTGTGGTTGAATCTTCTCGCAGAGGGAAAGGTTGGTTAAACATAATCTACTCTTTTAGTGCACAAGTGTTGTGTAAATTATTACAATTTATTAGTTTTATCAATGCCCTAAAAGCTTATCTGTTTGTTAATTTATGTTGATTCCATTTATCTTGTCTGTTTGTTAATTTGTGTTGGTTCCATTATTTTATCTAATTGTTAATTTTGTGCTAGTTCCTTCTATTTAAATCAGCCTGTTAACTATTGTTAACCTTGAATTTAACCCTCCTGTTAACTTTTAATAACACCCTATAATTTAACCCTTAAAGCACGCGCCACGTGGCCTTATGGGTTATAAGTTATGTAACAGCAAAGCCACGATCGTGGCTTGATGCGCTTTCATGTTTAAACCTGTTAACTTTTCATTGACATCCTTGAATTTAAACCTGTTAACTTTTGTTAACGTCCTTGAATTTAAACCTGTTAATTTTTAGTAACGTCCTTGAATTTAAACCTGTTAACTTTTGTTAACGTCCTTGAATTTAAACCTGTTAATTTTTAGTAACGTCCTTGAATTTAAACCTGTTAACTTTTGTTAACATCCTAAACTTTAAACCAGGCCGCAGACTCAACAAAGAGGAACTCAAGTCCACCACACAAGCCATTGAAAAAACACACACCCTCCTTGCCAATCACAAGGGCTCGTCAGAGCTCATAGCCGAGGTGGCCACATTGTTTACATGTATAAAGTAAGTGCTGCATGTAAATATCCTGTATAATGGCTGTTTGTATTGGTTGTGTCAAGTCACAACTAGATGTAAAATAGTTGCATTCTTGAACAAAAATATTCTTATAATCACCTGATATTGAAATATTTCTTTTTCAAATTAAAAAAAAAATTAAACTATGTTTTTTACCATTAAATATACTAGATGCCTAAAGTTAGTTTGTCAGGTTTATTAAACAAATAAACAGAAATCTAAAATTCTTCTCTTGTTTTAACATGCAGGTTTCCTGTAGTTGCCATGGGAGTTTTACACTGGGTGGATCTGACTGTCTCTGAACCAAGTTTTTTTAAGCTCAACACAGACCATACTCCTCTTCATCTGGTGTTGGTGGACGAGGTCAGTTTTGGTTTCAGACAATTGCCTTAATCAGAAATTTGTTACTCAGCTCACTGGTGTGTAGACTAGTAAAGTAAATTAAAGAATCCTCTTTTTTTAGACCTAGCAATCCATTGGGCAGATGAAGTAGAGTTCAAATGTTTTTTGACCTTGGCAAATGAAAGGAATATGTGGTCAGTACTTTGCCCAGCCGACTTTACTTTACCTAACATGAGTTAGCTGGGTGGGCTCTGGGATGGTCTACTTACTTGAACCCGGATTCAAACTCGAGACTTTCAGGTTGGCAGCCTAGTGCTCTTCTGCTTAACCTATACCTACAGATTGTATCAAATCATCCATTATTTTCTCACCTACAGATTGTATCAAATCATCCATTATTTTCTCTGCCTCCAGATTGTATCAAATCATCCATTATTTTCTCTGCCTACAGATTGTATCAAAGCATCCATTATTTTCTCTGCCTCCAGATTGTATCAAATCATCTATTATTTTCTCTGCCTACAGATTGTATCAAATCATCCATTATTTTCTCTGCCTCCAGATTGTATCAAAGCATCCATTATTTTCTCTGCCTACAGATTGTATCAAATCATCCATTATTTTCTCTGCGTACAGATTGTATCAAATCATCCATTATTTTCTCTGCCTACAGATTGTATCAAATCATCCATTATTTTCTCTGCCTACAGATTGTATCAAATCATCCATTATTACATCAAAAAGCTCTCCAGTTATTGACTCGGCTTTTTGATAACTCTTATGATGAGTTGGATGTTCTTGTTAGGGTGAGTTTCAATTTTAGCACTGTTTACACATTTTTTTTCCCACCCCTTCCCATTAAGGCACAGTGGATCCACGGATTTTATTTTCAGATTTTCAAAGGTACAGCTAGTTCCATTTTTTTTTTATTTTATGTATTTTTTACAGGGAACAAGAAATTAACTAGTTTATTTATGTTACCTTAAAAATAGCATGCAACCATTTTATATTTAAGAAGCAATACAATCCTTTTAAAGTTTAAGATTTCTAAAGATTAAGTACCACCATTCCAAAGATTAAGTGCCATCATTCTAAAGATTAAGTACAAAACCATTCAAAAAATTAAGTACAGCCATTCTAAAGATTAAGATTAAGTACCACCATTCTAAAGATTAAGTACAGTCATTTCAAAGATTAAGTACCACCATTCTAAAGATTAAGTACCACCATTCCAAAGATTAAGTGCCACCATTCTAAAGATTAAGTACCACCATTCCAAAGATTAAGTACCACCATTCTAAAGATTAAGTACAGCCATTCTAAAGATTAAGTACCACCATTCCAAAGATTAATTACCACCCATGTAATATTGTGTTTCAGCTTGAATTAAAGAAAATGGTCCTGGACAGGATGTTGCACCTGTTACACAGGGGGTGTGTCATTCCTGTTGTCACTTTCATCACCAAATGTGTTGAGGACACCGACATCTCCTTGGTTAGGCATTTTGTAACTGAGGTAAGATTTTTGACTGCTAACATTTTGTAACTGAAGTAAGATTTTTTTTTTACTACTAACATTTTGTTACTGAGGTAAGATTTTTTTTTTACTACTAACATTTTGTTACTGAGGTAAGATTTTTGACTGCTAACATTTTGTCACTGAGGTAAGATTTTTGACTGTTAATAATTTATAGGTAAGATTTGTTATTTTTTACTGCTAGGTAAAAATGTGTTTGATTTTTTTGTGTTAACATGTTTATACCTACAATTCCTCATTAGACTATATAAATAAAACCAATGATAGTCAAAATGTGATGTTCATTATAAAAGCATTGATCAAGTTTTTGTTCCCAGCTGTTAGATATGATAGCCCCGCCCTACACAATGGAGTTTGTCCAGCTCCTGCTTCCATTGATTGAAAACAAGGCTGTGACGGACACACTCAGGACCAATGACGGCAAAGATCCGGTCTCGGAATTTATTTGTGAGTTTTGTCTCCTCTCTAGCCATTCTACTTACACCTCTGAAAAAAATTATTATGTGCACCTAAGGAGAGGGCTCATTTTTTTCTGTCCTCCACTAAAATGTGTTCAGCTTACAATTGATTCTATTAAAAAATTAAGCTGATGTGTAGTTTGTATTGATGTGCCTAAAATAATAAATGTAATTATATAACCTTTGTTTTCCCTTTGTTGAAAGATTGTCAGTAAAATAATAAGCATGTGAGGTTCATCAGCTATTTTTTTTTTATTTCAGGTCATTGTCGAACATTGATGAACCAAGTTTAAGCCATTCATGCTGTATGATTCATTAAACACATCAGTCGTATGATTCATTAAACACATCAGTCACATTGTGTGATTCATTAAACACATCAGTCGTATGATTCATTAAACACATCAGTCACATTGTGTGATTCATTAAACACATCAGTCGTATGATTCATTAAACACATCAGTCACATTGTGTGATTCATTAAACACATCAGTTGTATGATTCATTAAACACATCAGTCACATTGTATGATTCATTAAACACATCAGTCACATTGTGTGATTCATTAAACACATCAGTCACATTGTATGATTCATTAAACACATCAGTCACATTGTATGATTCATTAAACACATCAGTCACATTGTATGATTCATTAAACACATCAGTCACATTGTATGATTCATTAAACACATCAGTCAAATAATGCGTTCTGTGTTTGTCTTTCTAGTTTGTGCATGGTCTTATAGGTAGCGTGGTTTCTAGCTTCTGCATGGTTTTGTATGTAGAGTAGTTTCTAACTTCTGCATGGTTTTGTATGTAGAGTAGTTTCTAACTTCTGCATGGTTTTGTATGTAGAGTAGTTTCTAACTTCTGCATGTTTTTTTATGTAGAGTAGTTTCTAACTTCTGCATGGTTTTGTATGTAGAGTAGTTTCTAACTTCTGCATGGTTTTGTATGTAGAGTAGTTTCTAACTTCTGCATGGTTTTGTATGTAGAGTAGTTTCTAACTTCTGCATGTTTTTTTATGTAGAGTAGTTTCTAACTTCTGCATGGTTTTGTATGTAGAGTAGTTTCTAACTTCTGCATGGTTTTGTATGTAGAGTAGTTTCTAACTTCTGCATGGTTTTGTATGTAGAGTAGTTTCTAACTTCTGCATGGTTTTGTATGTAGAGTAGTTTCTAACTTGGGTTCAATTGAACCTCATGGGTCTCAGGGATGTCAAAACACACACACCCGACTCCTGTGATTTGCGATTAATTTGTCAGTGCTGACAGCATAACTTACAGTCGGCGATAGACAGATGACCTCATGACATAGTAATAAAATGTGCCACAGCGAGATATTTCTCTATAAAACGCATTAAAGTTACCTTTACATGCGCAATTGTTATGTATTAACATATGCCAAATATACTTTTTGTTTCTGTATCGTGCCTCAATAGGTGACTTGTGATAGTATGTTGTGTAATTTCTTTCTTAATATTTTAATCCCTTCTTACTAAGTCAAGCAAAAAAAAAAGTGATATGATGTATATGTACAATATTGATCCACATGTACAACAGAACTTGTGAGTCAGGGTCTATCTGCATGAGTTTCATTGCTCATTGAGCAATTCTAGTCTAGCTAAACTAAGAGAACACTTCCTTTAGCTGCATGAAAATGGAAATACAGAAACACAATGAATGGAATGATGTGACACAGCGCATGTCTAAACCGGTTTCACTAGGCTACGTCATAAGCCATACTGATTTGCAGGAAATATTCATTCATTATTACGTTTTTGTGTATACGAGCCGACCCGCGGCGTATTATACGCCGCCAGTGGCGTAGGCAGGGGGGGTGGGTTAGGGGGGTCATAACCCCCCCCCCCATAGACCCCTCGGTATATAGAAAAAGTATGAGGGGGGTGCAAATTGAAAGTTTGAGGGGGGGGGGGGGTGCAAATCGAAAGTTTGTCCCCGGGTAAAAATTGGACCCCCCCCCCCCCCTTTGAGACGATCCTGGCTACGACACTGTACGCTGCTATTTAGTTGTTTTATTTTCTACTTTTCAGTAATTCATAATTTGTAAATTCGACAGTACCAATGCTGCCACTGGAAATATTTGCTTTAAAACACTAAAACCCTCCTTTCCCCCTACCCCCCACCCCCACCCACGTGAAAGCAGCCTCCACTTAGTTACTTCCACTAAGTATAAAATAGTTTTAAACTAAATTATCTGCCCCTAATAGCCGCCACTAAACCCGGCTCTACGATGTAAACATTTAGCGTGAACCACAGCTCACCAGACCATGTGGGTGTGGGGGAGGTTGCGATATGCCTAGAGAGGAAAAGAGGGGACTGCTCGTTGCGCTTACAGCTTGTTTTCTAGGATCTCCCAGAAGAGAATTATATATATAGATAATATTTTAATGCTTTTGATCTTTGAACACAGCGATGTTGATGCGTGGTTCATTTTGTGCACCAGTAAAATATAGCTTCCCTTTGTTCC